CTGTAAGAGTTGTTACCTCGGAGGCCTGCGGAAGCGTTTGGAGGGTTTCAGGCCGGTCAAGGTCAAACGGCAGTCTTGAACTCCCTGAAAAGGGCATAAAGCTGTAAGAGTTGTTGCCTTGGAGGCCTGCGGAAGCGTTTGGGGGGTTTGAGGCCGGGCAAACTGCAGTCTTGAACCCCCTGAAAAACAGATGGCAGGGGCATGTAGGTGTAAGAGTTCGGCAGGAGCATGTAGATTGGGAGCTGCAGGGGAGCATTTGGGGGGTTTTGCGGGCTGGCAAACGGCAGGCTTGAACTCCCTGAAAAACAGATCGCAGGGTTTGGGGGGTTTTGCGGGCTGGCAAACGGCAGGCTTGAACTCCCTGAAAAACAGATCGCAGGGCATGTAGCTGTAAGAGTTGTTGCCTCGGAGGCCTGCGGAAGCGTTTGGAGGGTTTCAGGCCGGTCAAACGGCAGTCTTGAACTCCCTGAAAAACAGATGGCAGGGGCATGTAGCTGTAAGAGTTGTTGCCTTGAGGCCTGCGGAAGCGTTTGGAAGGTTTCAGGCCGGTCAAACGGCAGTCTCGAACTCCCTGAAAAACAGATGGCAGGGGCATGTAGCTGTAAGAGTTGTTGCCTTGGAGGCCTGCGGGAGGGTTGGCAGCGTTTGGGGGGTTGGAGGCCGGGCAAGCGGCAGTCTTGAACCCCTGAAAAACAGATGGCAGGGACATGTTAGCTGTAAGAGTTTTGGCAGGAGCATGAGATGGGGCTTGAGGGGAATTTGGGGGGTTTTGCGGGCTGGCAAACGGCAGGCTTGAACTCCCTGAAAAACAGATGGCAGGGGCATGTAGCTGTAAGAGTTGTTGCCTCGGAGGCCTGCGGAAGCGTTTGGAGGGTTTCAGGCCGGTCAAACGGCAGTCTTGAACTCCCTGAAAAACAGATGGCAGGGGCATGTAGCTGTAAGAGTTGTTGCCTTGGAGGCCTGCGGAAGCGTTTGGAAGGTTTCAGGCCAGTCAAACGGCAGTCTGAACTCCCTGAAAAACAGATGGCAGGGGCATGTAGCTGTAAGAGTTGTTGCCTTGGAGGCCTGCGGAAGCGTTTGGGGGGTTTGAGGCCGGGCAAACGGCAGTCTTGAACCCCCTGAAAAACAGATGGCAGGGGCATGTAGGTGTAAGAGTTCGGCAGGAGCATGCAGATTGGGAGCTGCAGGGGAGCATTTGGGGGGTTTTGCGGGCTGGCAAACGGCAGGCTTGAACTCCCTGAAAAACAGATCGCAGGGTTTGGGAAGTTTTGCGGGCTGGCAAACGGCAGGCTTGAAGTCCCTGAAAAACAGATCGCAGGGCATGTAGCTGTAAGAGTTGTTGCCTCGGAGGCCTGCGGAAGCGTTTGGAGGGTTTCAGGCCGGTCAAACGGCAGTCTTGAACTCCCTGAAAAACAGATGGCAGGGGCATGTAGCTGTAAGAGTTGTTGCCTTGGAGGCCTGCGGAAGCGTTTGGAAGGTTTCAGGCCGGTCAAACGGCAGTCTTGAACTCCCTGAAAAACAGATGGCAGGGGCATGTAGCTGTAAGAGTTGTTGCCTTGGAGGCCTGCGGAAGCGTTTGGGGGGTTTGAGGCCGGGCAAACGGCAGTCTTGAACCCCCTGAAAAACAGATGGCAGGGGCATGTAGGTGTAAGAGTTCGGCAGGAGCATGTAGATTGGGAGCTGCAGGGGAGCATTTGGGGGGGTTTGCGGGCTGGCAAACGGCAGGCTTGAACTCCCTGAAAAACAGATCGCCGGGCATGTAGCTGTAAGAGTTGTTGCCTCGGAGGCCTGCGGAAGCGTTTGGAGGGTTTCAGGCCGGTCAAAGGCAGTCTTGAACTCCCTGAAAAACAGATGGCAGGGGCATGTAAGCTGTAAGAGTTGTTTGCCTTGGAGGCCTGCGGAAGCGTTTGGGGGGTTTCAGGCCGGGCAAACGGCAGTCTTGAACCCCCTGAAAAACAGATGGCAGGGGCATGGTAATGCTGTAAGAGTTGTTGCCTTGGAGGCCTGCGGAAGCGTTTGGGGGGTTTGAGGCCGGGCAAACGGCAGTCTTGAACCCCCTGAAAAACAGATGGCAGGGCCATGGAGGTGCGTAGAGGGTTCGGGCAGGAGCATGTAGAAGATTGGGAGCTGCAAGTGGAGCGTTTGGGGGGTTTGAGGACGGGCAAACGGCAGTCTTGAACCCCCTGAAAAACAGATGGCAGGGGCATGTAGCTGTAAGAGTTGTTGCCTTGGAGGCCTGCGGAAGCGTTTGGAGGGTTTCAGGCCGGTCAAACGGCAGTCTTGAACTCCCTGAAAAACAGATGGCAGGGGCTTGTAGCTGTAAGAGTTGTTGCCTTGGAGGCCTGCGGAAGCGTTTGGAGGGTTTCAGGCCGGTCAAACGGCAGTCTTGAACTCCCTGAAAAACAGATGGCAGGGGCATGTAGCTGTAAGAGTTGTTGCCTTGGAGGCCTGCGGAAGCGTTTGGGGGGTTTGAGGCCGGGCAAACGGCACTCTTGAACCCCCTGAAAAACAGATGGCAGGGGCATGTAGGTGTAAGAGTTCGGCAGGAGCATGTAGATGGCTGGGGCATGTATAGCTGGCAGAGGTGTTGCCTTGATGGCGTGTGCCTTTGCTTGCGACCCGAGAGCCAAGTTCCACACCTCCGGTGGTCCCAGGCGCCGCCCCTGCCTTGGCAAAGGCCGGGGTCGGCGGATTTCATTGGGGATGATGATAACCAATAGTAGGGGAAACCTATCAGCCAACTAGTAGAATGAGATGGGATAGGGGTATTTATCTATTTTGATTGGAGCTAGGATATCTAATAGCTAGTAGAATCATAGTTATTCCAATCTATTTATCTATATTAGACCCAGTTAGATGGGATATTCCTAGGTAAAGCCGATTCCCCCATAGAACGGTTGTCAATATTTTGGAGATCCACGGTTTCCCAGCAGTGGCTCCAGGCGGTTTCTACTGCGCCAAGTCAATGGTGTGGTACTCTTTGTGACTTCACGGGTGAAGGCAGGGCACCTACGGCAGAGTATATGCTCTATATATATATATCTCTCTCTCTCTCTCTGGTTGGCGGTTTGTAACTTTTTTTTTCCATACATATATTGGGAAGAATCATCCGAACTGACTAATATTTTTCAGAGGGGTTGAAACCACCAACCAGATATTATATATATATATGTAATATATGCTCTGTAATACTACATATAATATGTGTACAATTATATGATATTGTATGTTATATTACTAAAGACAATAATTACCTTTGTGGGGGTTGAACAGTATGGAACGACTATTTCTGTCTCCAATGATGAACAACCAGTTTCCGTACAGAAACTCAGAAACTGTGTGTGCCTGGGTGCAAGAGAGTCCGTAGGACTGCATCATTTTAGGAGAGGAGGGATATCAGGTGCTTCTCAGCAACACAGGCATTGTGCAGCTCATGGCTTGTGAAAAAAAAATAGAAGTTGGTAGCATGTGTTACCCCTCTTCAATGGCCAAAATGATCTGATTTGCTGGGTTGCACATGCCGCATTGTATCTGGAATCTGGAAGTATATCACATGCACACATAGATATACACAACATGTCCCATGTTTCAATACAGACTACCCCAGGCCTATAGATATAGTATATGCATAGAAAACGCATACCAGCCGGAATAGAAATCGAAGATAGCCCAAGCATCAACAGGAGCACCAAACAAGCACACCCGGGCGCGCTCCCAATTGCTTTGGCTGGGGTAGGGGGGTATATGCATATTTACAAACTCATTCATATCTATATATACATATACAGTAGATAGATATATATATATATATATATTCGTATATATATATATACTAGACACGTATACTACAGTATGTTTCACTGATAGTATCCCATGAAACTCCAATATATTCCCATGATTTTCCTTATCACCATATTTCACTGACCACGGCAGGACGTTGGCCACTGGATGACCATGACTGTAGGCGGATCTGTTGGTGACCAGAGGAATAGAACGGTAGAGTAGCAGATATGTATATATGATACATGTTTAATTGTGCACATTGATATGTACTATGAGTATGAAAAACTATACATATTTTTTGTGTATATACATTATATCTATATGTCATATGTATGTATGTATGTAATGTAATGTAATGTAATGTAACGTAATGTAATGTAATGTAATGTAATGTATGTAATGGATGTAATGGATGTAATGGATGTGAATAAATGTAATGTAATGTAATGTAATGTACTGTACTGTAATGTAATGTAATGTATGTATGTTGTATGTATGTATGTATGTATGTATGTTTGTATGTATAACGTAATGTAATGTAATGTAATGCATTGTAATGTAATGTAATGTAATGCAATGTAATGTAATTTAATGTAATATAATGTAATGTAATGTATGTATGTAATGTATGTAATGTAATGTAATGTATGTATGTAATGTAATTTAATGTAATGTAATGTAATGTAATGTATGTATGTAATGTAATGTAATGTATTGTATGTATGTAATGTATGTAATGTAATGTAATTTAATGTAATGTAATGTAATGTCATGTAATGTAATGTCATGTAATGTAATGTATGTATGTATGTAATGCAATTTAATGTAATTTAATGTAATGTAATGTAATGTGATGTATGTATGTATGTGTGTATGTGTGTATGTTGTGTATGTGTGTATGTGTGTATGTGTGTATGTATGTATGTATGTAATGTAATGTTATGTTATGTTATGTTATGTTATGTTATGTTATGTTATGTATGTATGTATGTATGTGTATGTGTATGTGCATGTGCATGTGCATGTGTATGTGTATGTGTATGTGTATGTGCATGCATGTATGCATGGATGGATGTATATATGTATGTATGTATGCATGCATGTATGCATGTATGTATATATGTGGACGTACATATGTGCAATACACAAACATGGATGAATACATGTATATATTCTGTATCATATGCCAAACTTGGGTACAAAGGCTCTGCCAAGTCTCCTCTTCTTTCCTGTAGGATTTTGGGTCGAGAATCTTACCCTATCCAACTCAGTCTGCGGACCTTGCCAACCAGATTGAACCAGAACAATCATTGAACAATATACAACAGAGGTGACCTTTAAATTGAACCAAAACTATATCATTCAATGATTTGTACAGAACAACCAGAACAATTATCCAATCATCATTAATTAATATAATTGTGGCCCTGATGTTTGAGTGCGTTGGCGCTACGGGTTGATTTTTGAATTTGGTCACCCCAGTGAAAGATCACCGAAATGGGTCGAATTCACATTGTGGACATGTCCCAACCGAAAGATGATCGTCGGCTTAAAAAAATGTGATGTTGCCTGCTTTTGTTTCGCCAAAAACTTGAAAATTGTAGATCAAAAAGTTGATCAGTAGGGTTTCATCCTGTATTTCATTATAACATATTATAACGTCCAATATTTCACCATGAAAATATTCCCATCATTTTCTCATTTTTTCGTTTTCCGTGTCTTTTTGTCCAAGCTGCTGGATCACCAGGTCACCTCGCAAGGTCCAGAGAGAAATCGTTGCAGGTGACTTCGGAGCAACAGGCGACGCTGGTGGTGGAGACCGACGCTGGCGAAGCCTTAAAGAGGGGATGAAATTGATAAAAGGCCCAAGTTAAATGGCCCAAGAAAAACAATATCTCTGAGAGAGTTGTGATTTTGTCTGTTTTTTTTTTTTCCGGGAACATGATGATGATAAAGCATGAAATTTGGGGTGACCGGGTTGTTTTGAGGTGTGGATCCGGCATATGTTCGATGAAGCGATTCGAATTTGGCTGATTTGATGGGCTGGATGGGTCCCTAATTTGCAGAAACCGAAAACATGCAAGATGCACCACCAACTTGGTGATGCAAGCGGGTAAGATGACAGGTTAAGATGAAGATGGAAGATGATACAGAACCTTCACATGCAGACGTTGCACAGTGGATTGACTTGGAATGCGCCCGTCGCACAGCGCCGTTGCTGCAGGTGTTATCGAAGCCGCTCTACAGGGCAGCCTGCTTAGTAGCAACCTACGGAGAGGGATTTTGAGCCCACTCGGAGCTTCATTTGGTTGGATGACAAGGCCCCCTACATATAGTACGGTAAGCAACTCTTATAATGGGAATGGGGCAACATTGGGTACCCCAATGATTGGATGGTGAATCCTAAAAAAAAATACGAATACCCGGTGGTTCCGCAGGTCTTTAATTTTGATTCATACCCATAAATATGTTATACTATCTTATACTTCCATGTTATGTCCCATGGTCAACACATGCTCTAAATTTTCTCATTTATCAGAGGCGATCAGCTGGGTATTTTCCGAGGGCTGAAAAACCCATCAAACTTGACCATGGCAGATTTATCCTCCCTGGGTCAGAACTGATTTTCCCATGGGTTACTAATGTTCTAATCGCTTATTTGACCTGGTAGCAACCTGATTTGCGCCCTGGATGAAAAATGGATCAGATGATCCCAGCAAACTAGACCTCCTTGGCTCCGGGATTTCCTAGCCATATTTGATGACAGGTGTTCCTTAAGTGGTTATTCATTTCATGTCTAGTCATGTCATGGCGCTGAATTTAAAAGAACAAATGGTCCTCTTCCTGGCTCAAGGATCATATCCCAATGATTTCCCAATGGTTTTAATAAAGTTTATACTACCGGGTATGATTTCAATGGAACGATTCGTATGATTTCAATGGATCCGGTTATTATCCCTTAAAGATCATATTCCCATATTATGATTTCTATATCCGGATGGTATATCCCAATGGTAAAAATCATGTTTGTATGGTAGGAATCCAGTGATTCCTTCGACCGACCCAGGTGGTGAACGAATGGCAGCTTCGCAGGGAACAGGGCCAGACCTTGGTTCGAAGGCGAGTTGCGGCGAGTTGCGGCGCAGCTGGGATCTAACATAGAGACTCTTAGTGCATAAATAACTGGTTGGTAACCATTAACCAATGATGGTATCACTATAGTAACCCTCCTTGGATTACTATCCATTAACCAATGATACTAAAAAAAGGGATATTAATAGTGATATTAACTGGTTGGTAACCATTAACCAATGGGATATTAAGGGATATTAATGGTTAATGATGGTTAATAGTGGTTAATAATGGTTGATGAGATATTTGGTTGGTGCTGACTGGAACATGGCTGGATTATGACTTTCCATATATTGGGAATAATCATCTCAACTGACTAATATTTTTCAGAGGGGTTGAAACCACCAACCAGGTATATATATATATGTATATACATTATGGAATATGGAAAGATATGATTGTGTATATATATAGAATGTGGGTAAAACAATAATACATAATAAACCATCCCCCAAATCACCATAAATATGTTCTATAAGCCATTACATTGTGATACAATATGGATACAATCAACAACAAAAGACCTTGTTTATCACGTTAAAACATCTATTCTGAATTGCGGTCCCCAAATGCCGAAAAAACATCAGTGAGGTCAATTCACTAACCATATGTTGTTTTCATGATCCTACCGCAAGCCCAGGTTGACATGCCCTCTTGTCAAAAAAACAACTGTTGCAAGTGGATTTGGTTTGATGCGTAGATTGTACTTGAATGATGATCATCTGACTCAATATTTGGAAACAATCTATGGTCACATCAAGCTTTTATAGAAGGACCCCAGACTTTTGTGGTCACCTCATAGCCATGCTGCATGCTACCCATTTGTCACAGACGATCATCACCCGACTTGCAACGGTAGCTGCTGTGCAAAGGATCATGAGGGACTTCATGCAGTTGGGAAACTGAGTTTGGCGGCCAGGAAAAGGTGCTGATGCTGATCAGGGATGATCAGTCTGGTGGTTGCAATGGTCTGGTGGTATTTTTTTCTGGTCAAATCCATCAATAGGTCACCCCCACTGGGTTGACGAGTCGGAACTTCCGGATTGGTGGCAAGAACCACGGGTCTCGTTAGGCGCCAGTTCCATCGGGGGCATTGCTTGTCAGATAATGTTGGATGTCGATTAGTGCGATTAGTGCGACTATTGTGATTTTTGTTTCCTTCCGAAATAATTCAGTCTCCTGAAATGGTTTGGGTGGAACCCTACAGTATTGTCTAAAACAAATTATCAGACCCATTTTTTTCAGGAGGAACAAGTCAGGTCCAAAAACATATCGTTCTTGTAGGTCCAGCTCCTTCTTGGGGTATTTGTGTCCTTAAAATTCAAAACCGTTTGTCCACCCTTTCTCTTATTATAGCTGCTGTATCTTGCTCACCCCAATCATCTTGAATCTTCAAAATGACGATTTTCCCAAATGATTAAATTCCTTATATCTTATTAAACCCTTATTAAAAAAAAAAACAGTACCAAACCTATTTTTCAAGGGAGTACTCCATGAGTGACTCGGATCCTCAATAATATAATTGTTTGCATATGATAGTCTATGGTGCTAAGGAAATTCTGGGGAAAAAACACATCAAAGACTTTTTTAATCCAGCTACCTTTGGGTAAAGCTGTTACTTGCGAAGTCCTTACTTAGATTTCTTTCTGGTGTAAAAGGAAAAGCAATTGAAAGTAGATTGAAATAAATTGAAATCCTTGCTTATCCTTAGATTTCCTTTTGGGTTAAAAGGGAAACAAAATGAAAGTAGATTGACATGAATTGACTCCTTACTTATCCTTTGATTTATTTAAGGTTTAAAAGGAAAATCAATTGAAAGTAGATTGATTTAAATTGAAGCCCTTACTTATAGATTTCTCTTAGATTCTAAAGGAGCATGAATTGAACGTAGATGGACATGAATTGAAATCCTTACTTGTACTTAGATTTCATTAAGTTATAAATAGGTAACCAATTGAACATAAATTCAAATGAATTGAAATCCTTACTAATCCTGATTGTTTGTTAGAACTGAAAGGAAAATCAATTGAAAGTAAAGCGGCATCAATCGAAATCCTTACACATTGTTGATCATCCTGAGTTCCACAGACCCTGTGCCAAGAAAAAATTGAATAATAGAGCATATACCTAAACTGTTGTTTTGGGGCACACTAATTATATAATCAGCATCCAACGAAGTGATGGATTTGATCTCTTGGATCCCCAGAATCATGGGAAGCGATCATGGTTCAATGCTTCAGCTGGTGGTGTTTTGTTTTTTTTCATCGCAACATGGACATAAATGGACCAACAAAAAAAATCCAAATGGACCTTAATTTTTATGTAAACCCAAGACATGGATTTTTCACAAAAATGCTTCAGGCTACGGTGGGGACACGGCTATGGATCACACGTATTGCACCGCGCTGAGGATGGAAGACGACATCCCAGATCTGGCCGCTGGCCTGACGGAGGCAGGGAATTTGGCCACCAGGAGTTCGGTTTCTGGGTGCCGAAATCCCCAGCCACAGAAAGGGTTCCAATGTGGAGACCATTGAAATATAGCCACTATAGGATCCATGGTGCTGGTATATATGCTAACATGGATCCCATCAATATCACCCCACATGTTAGCATATATACCAGCACCATGGATCCGTCATGGGATATGAATTGTGTATGAAAGCCTTCTTTTTTGGGGGGATCTACGCTTGCCACGTTTGATGACACCCAAGGGTACAAATCAATACAAATCACCATTGCCTTCGGCCGGTTCAATGCCAGGCTGCAGATGAGGAGAATCGGAAGATTATCAAGGCGCGATCTCTGGGATGATCACTGCGAACATGGGGTGCTGGCTGCCATGATTTACGATTGAGAGCGACATTGATATAACATGATATAACATGATGCGATAAAACATCAAACTTGAGGGGTATCCCTTGCGCGGTTGAAGTTTCATGCGCAGGCCTTCGAGCGAAGGAAGAAGGAGATTATGTCAGGGGAGTATGGTGGCTTTTGGCTCACACGAAAAACTGCTGTGGATCTGATGTCGCGGCCCAAAAAAAAAGATGAACCTTCCTGAAGGTAACAGTCGGTCGGCATCGATGTATGGTAACTTTTGGTCTTCACTCAACAAATAGCTGCGCCAAATGCCAAAAAGGGTGGGCAGGTTGGTACTCTTGAGTGCCTCTGCCAACCTTGATCCGCAAATTGGCTGTGTGTGAAAATAGATGCTAGCTTAAACAAATAAATCAATATGTGTATATATATATATATATATTAGCAGCCCGGTTGGCCTGTTTATCCACTAACTTCTTTTTTGGTCGCTTTTAGCCCTGGAACTATTTATAATAGAGCCGGAACTATTTGTAGCGTGTTTATGGAAATTATTGAAACATCAATGGGGGTCAGTCCCAGCTTCAAACGTGAAGATCAAATTGCACACTAGTAGAGCCACACCAGATATTCATCAGCACAATTTTATCAGCCCTAGACCCATAAATCCATAGATGCAACAATAATGCATTCATACATCCAATCTGGCAGAAGAAGAGGGTCGTCATTCACTTGTTTGTTTTCCATTTGAAAGTGAAAACCTACCAGCTTTAAGGTTTAGATCTGTTCATGCACTGGGGTTACCCTCGACAGTATACCGAGGCAGTACAAGCCACTGGCTTTAGCGTTTTATAAATGAGATTAAATGAGTGGATTCAAAAAAGATCGCAAACACAGTGCTCCTTACGAAACATGTTTGGGTTTCAGGTGGGTTTGAACAAGGTATCTGAATATTAGGTGAGCTCAGGGCTGCACGATGCCACTGCCCCTAGCAACCGCAGAAGCCAATCCCTCAAATACGGCCCAGAAGCCAACGCCCTGAGCCAACCCCATTCCATCAAACCAGCGCACTTGGAATCGCGATTTTCAGGTGACTGCTATTGACTGCTCTGTCAGGTAACAGATTGTTTAGGGCTTACGGGAGCCGCCGCGCGTTGTTGCTCGCGGAATAGGTTGGGCTCTCCCTGTAAGGGTTATTGTCTGGAACTATTTATAAACCAGCCGGAACTATTTAGAAACTGGCCGGAACTATTTATAAACTGGCCGGAACTATTTATAAACCAGCCAGAACTATGTACAAATTGGCCGGAACTATTTGTAAATTGGTTGGAACTATATAAATTGGCCGGAACCACTTATAAACCAGCCGGAACTATTTATAAATTGGCCGGAACTATTTAGAAAATGGGCTACACGCTAGTCCAGGCTTTTTCTAAACTTGCCCGGACTTATGACCTGGCTCGATGTATTTATAATATTGCCAGCTGTGCTTCCCAAATTCAAAATGTGTACTTTGTTGGCTTGGTCGGGGTTTGCAAACTTGAGCTTCGCTGCATCACAATGACCGGAACATCTTATTGAACCAATGCGCAACTACCTGGGCCGTGATTTAATCATTTGACTTAGGCACTCTGCAATCATCGTTTTTACATGACACAGAGTACCAGCGTCGCTGTGAGACCTTAATCAAACCCTGTTCTTGCCTTGACAAATCGCGCATGCTGCATTCTATATGTATTAGCTGCTCCGCACATATCGACGTGCAATTTCCGATGCTGGCAGAATGCAATTCAAATAGGTCATTTAACGCCCATTGGTGGGTTGTTTGCAGATATAGTCCGGAACCGTTCGGGACCGTTCTGAACTATATTGACGCTGCTTTTGATGACTAGTTCGGAACCGTTCAGAACCGTTCTGAACTATATTGACGCAAAGAAATGGAATAGTTCCAAATAGTTCGGGGCTTTTGAGGTTCGGAACCGTTCTGAACTATGATATATCGAAATTTGTCAAAAGACTCAGAAATAAGCAAAGTACCGGCAATGCAAATTTGAATCGTGTTTCTGAAAATATTCTGGAACTGTTTCAAACCGTGTTGAACCATAAAACATATAGACTAGAACTACCACTATATATATATATTTATATGTATATATATATAGAGTAATTGTGCCCTAAACTTTCGATTTGTGTTTTAAACATATATGCTTGGCACAACTTACTATATGTATAGGTATGCTGCATGCAAAATGTCAAAACAAGTGGGTTGAATCAAGGTGGTAAAGATCAGGAAATATACCATGCGAAAAATGCAAAACCCCTTCCGGAAATTGACTGGTATTCATGAAAATCGACTCAAATTTTAATGATTAGTTGAATAGACTTTGCAAATAGTTCCAAGGCTTTGAGTCCCCACAACAGACAAAGAGGCCTACCAGACTGCTAATACACACACATATAATATATATACAATACATGCAATTGTGAAATCCAACATGGAACCAAGTCCGTTCACGGGCGATGCAAGCTATTGCCGTCCTGCCCCAAACAACCAACAATAAATTTGGGTAAATTATAACGACCTCATTGCGACCGAACCCTGGAAACATGGTTAGCATTTGGGGAATCATCCCAAAATGGCCGAACTATTCAGGGAAAGGGAAGATGAATGGCCTTTATTAATTCAGGTTAGTGAATTATGATAATTTACCCAGATAAATGGATATAACTGGCGCTTTCCCCAAGAATCCATCCTTAAAAGAGACTCCTCACTAGCAGAATATTTCTAGTGGTTTGGGGTTCAAGGATGTTCAAGGTAAAAAATTCAAAAATTGGATGTTCCATGGTTGTTTTCGCTGGCAGATTTGTGGGAACACCTGCTGGCAATATATGGCTCAGCTACAGTTATTTTCCCATCGCGCGGTTTTTAGCGCGTCGTTGCTTCGGGAGCCATGGCCATGTCTTTGTTGCGAACTGGGCCTGTTTTGTTTTTCCAGCAAGATGCCGTGTTGTGATAAGGGACACCAACCAACGGGTACCACTTGTGGAGAGGGTGGGGTATAACTCTTATAGTTTTGTTTGGAAATTATTTTAATGTTTGACACATATTAAGATTCAGGTTTAGTAAAATAGTCCAAGAACGTGTGCATTTGTATGAGTCATGATAGAAGGATTTGACGATTCTGGGATGTTTATTTCATTTTATTTCACTTTCAGTCTAATGATTGACGCCCATTTTCCATCAACTTCATCTACTTCATATGTTTGGAGGGTAACCAAGATACTAGACCTGCCGTTAACGTCCATGGTCGATGGTCATCATGCGCATAACTGTTCCCCACTGGTGACATCCCCATCTCATAGTTGTTCATCATCTTGCCCATTCTTTGATGGCCACTCGGGTATATCACATTAACGAACAAACCCACATTGGATATGGTTGGCTAATGTTGGCTACATACATATGTGTGTACATATATAGGTACACACATATTTATATACTGTGCATATATATATATATATATCCCATTGTATCCCACTCACATCCCGTTAAGCCAACATTTTTCATGCTCATATCACCTATTCCCATGAAATCGCAAATGAACTCGCCAGGATGCGTCGTGCACAGGGGCAGATGCCCGGGCGTGCGGCACTGGTGCTCCGTCGAGGCAGTGGTTGCCAAGAAAGTGATGGGTTACCCCGCAGTGAACTGCCCCATGGATGTGGAAAATCCATGAAAATCCATGAAAATCCACGATTTCCATAGATTCCAATGGATTCCACAGAGAAAATGCACGATTTCTAGTAATTTCGAGTATCGTCCTAAGGAAACCATCTCCACATCGTTACAATGTTGGTGACAGGCTATCAACGGCGTTCCATGGAGCTTTGGGCTTTTCGGCCCAGCGATATCCAGTTCGAATATTTGCCATAAGGCCATACGCTCTGGTAATCAGCTCCACAACTGGAAGTTTTCCATGATGTGTTGATTTTCCCGAAAAAAATGAAACATCCATGGCTAGGATGGGGATTTCATGGCCTGTCGTGATGACACCGGAGGTAGGTTTTCCAAGTGGCTACCGGCGCGGCTACAGCGTTCGCTGACACGAGCATGACCAAGCTTGGGTCAACTCCATCAATTTCTCCAGTATAGCCCATGTATGCCAATGAGCCATGAAAACAACCTTTGATTGGTTAATGCAGGGAATCATACTAGCTACTAACCAACCATGGGATAGCGGTATTCTTCCCGGTTCAAATGTGTTAATAATATGGATCATTATTGTATTTTACATCGATCCCAACTGAAAGTCATTATTCACACATTTTTCCCTGATAATCGTGATTAGATGCGATTAGATATGATTAGATGTGATTATTGTGTGATATGTTTTTTCCCCAAAAGTATCATACTGAACATATTCAATTTTCATAGTGATTTTCGTGATTTCCCTACATCTTGCGCCATGGCAGCAATGGCTTGCACCAAGCGAAAAAAGACCGGTCACCAGGCTACCATGAAGTGGTCCACGATCACTTCAACAATCCTCGAAACGTTGGAAGCCTGGACAAGGAGGACCGAAGGGCACCACCATTTTGCTGGGATCCCCTTTTTTTTGTGGTTTATTCATGAAAATCCTATGAAAATCCTATAAAATCTATGGTTTATTTAGAGATATGGAAAATCCCATCTATAAATGGATGAGAACTGGGGGGTATCCCCCATGGATTGGAAACCTCCATATCTAGTAATATCTAGCATGATCTTACATGGGAATCGCACATCCACATCAATGGAGGTTTATACTTTGGAAAATCAACTTTATATGGGCAATTGTCCATTAGTATGATGATGATCAGGAACTATTCCTATCATACTAATGATTGTTGCTATTGGTTGTTATTATTGTCTTACTGGTAAGAACTGATGAAATGATCAGAACTGGGACTTGAGAATGATCGGAAGTAGATCGTCGTCATCATCACCATCACTATCACCATCACCATCATCATCATCATCATCACAACATATATCAATCATCATCATAATCAAAATCAACACGACATATATATATATATATCATATACTCATAGTATATAAATATATAATCATCCTGAAGTGGATAGAATCTGTTGTTTCCAAAAACAAGACAATTCAGCTTAATGTGAATAACAAGGAATAACTCTCTCTCTCTCTATATATATATATATTACTAGATATATATATATATGATTTTATATACAATGATTTGAAAAAAACAAGTTTTTAGATGTATTTAATTATATGTAATATTATCCAGAATATTATATATAACATGTTTATATAATAAATTATATAATATTCTATATAATATTTTATCTAATATTATATATAACATAATATTATATATGTAATATGATATGTCACATCATATGTATATAATAGTTTGTTTTTTTTGCCTTTCTACATGGGGCCCTGAAAATACAGTGCATGACCCACGCAGCCCACCGGGTATTGTGGCAGGACAGCAACGTGGGCTCCGCTTTGGTGGGCAAGGCCTCGTGCGGCGACGTGATCAAGCTCCAGGTGCGGAGAAGGGGAAGGGTAGGATGGTTGTATCATATATATATATGTATAGTAAAGATATGTTTGATATTTGGTATGATATATGGTATGATCTATCGTTTGGATAGGATGGATATGTATGTACAGTATGGATATATAATATATGAATTTATACGTGGATATTATATCTGGATATATAGAGATTTTGGATGTTATGGATAATGTATGGGTATCATGAAAAATGAATATATGATATGTAAAAAACAAGACGTGGATAATGTATGATAATGTATGATAATGTCTGATAATGTATGATAATGTATGATAATGTATGATAATGTATGATAATGTATGATATTATGATATATATATAACATGAAGATATATAGTTTTATAATCCTCAAAGTCCAGTAGGGTCTATATCTAGGGGTGTTGAATGTTGTCATTGTTGATTATTACCCCTACTCATATTCCCATTTGATCACCATTCATATTTACTCAACGATGCTACTCATTTGAGTTCAGTCATTTTTCGATTCTCAAAATCCCTTCTTTTACCATCTGGTTATTTAACATAACCATGGAAAATCGCCGTTTTTAATAGGTAAACCATCTATTTCTATGGGCCATCTATACCATGGCGAACTGTTAGTCATAACCATCCGTGGAGTCTGTCGAAACCCGCGTCGACAGGTCAAGGTTTCGAAAGATGGAGTGATTGAGGCCGGTGACACTGGAAGCTGTTGATGGTCATGGGCTTATGGGGTTTGATGATTGATGATTTATATGGGGTTATCATGGGCTTAGCCAGTTACCATCCAATTACTTCAATTTAGAACCAGTTGTAACTAGTTGTTTACTCAAATGCTAAAACACGCCAATGGGCAGAACTGGGTAAGAGTACTGCAATAACAAATATGTCATTATAAAAGAAACAATCATGTGGTAGACTCAATAAACTATCCCCAATACTGCCATAAATGGGTGGTATAGACCATCCCTGAATGGTAGGTTTGTTATTTGTCGGTTTCCATAGGTTTCCCTCAAGACTCGTCGCTGAGCCTTGAAAGAGTTTGACAGCACCCCCAGTTCTATGTGCCGTAGGTTTACCAACATATATCCCTTGAAATCACCAAGTCATGTAGATAAATTCAGCATCATTTGTCAGGGTTTTTCATGGTATTATATGGTCGAACTGGAACCTCTTTCGTGACCTCATAAAAAAACAGGTCGGACATGTCCTTCCGGAGGGGCATTTCTGTAAGATATTTCTCATGACCGTTGGAGTTGCAGTTCAATGTCGTAGATCCCATGCAGTGAAAAATCACCTATGCATTTTTTCAATCACGGATTGATGTTTTTGATGTATCACTATTTCACTATTTCACTATTTCACATAATATATATATATACTATGTAAACTAGTCGGGTAAGTTAACTATTGAGGTATTCACAGCTACACCAAACCTATTTCACATAGGTTGGTTCCTATTGAATTTGCTGTGGTGTAACTAAAAGATGGCGCAACGCAGTGGGGCCTCCAAAAATCATCCAAGCGGAGCAGATGGCGTTGGGTGTGAAATACTTGGAAGTAGTAGGAGCACCTAAATCAATCAAAACAGGGATTCGTTTATTTCATCATATTTCATCTAGAATCATCAACGCTATAGGAAAAAGTCACTGGAGTTTGGAAACCTCAATAGGTCACGAGAAGAATCGTTTCGTTGCATGAAGTGTCCCCCAAAAGTCAGAGATCATGGGCAACATATATGGAAAAAACACAATAATTAAAATATGTATATATTATTATATTAACTATATAGATAGATAATCTAGATAATCTAGATATATAATCCAAAGTGACTCGCCAGGAACATCCCTTTTTTTCATGCCATGGCCGGGCTAAACGGGGGATCAGGATGCGAAGTTCAAGACCTTCGGTTGTGGCTCGGCCATTGCCAGTTCCTCTTACGCTGGGCAGCCCGGATCAATGACCAGAGGGGTCAATTCCCAGAACCAGACTTAGTACATCTTGGTATCATTGAAAAACATCATGGAAACTGCTTGGTGGTTTGGAACATGTTTGATTATTTTGAAAAACAATATATGGCTTGTCATCCTTCCCATTGACGAAGTCATATTTTTCAAGATGGTTAAAACCACCAACCAGTTTAGTTATTAGTTATTAGTTAATCATCATTTTCCCATATGTTTCCCACTCTTTGATGCTTCTTTTACGGTCAAATCATCCTGTTGTTGGAAAGTTCCATGGCTTCCACACCACTTGAGGCCACAGAAATGATCATCGGGCAGAAGGTAGATGAGGCGCCGCGGCTTGAGAAATCTTTGGCGCTTGGCCAAGCTACATCTTCATCCATGGATCGCGAATGCATTAAGAATATGTAATGTATGATTATCTTCATGATATTAATATGATTAATATGAATTGCCACTGGATTCATTACCACTGGATGATATGAAAATATGGAAGATAATCTTCATATATGGTAGATGATAGATGATTACTTACCACTGGATGATTAATTACCATGATTCATGGATGATTCATGGCAATATTATGGTAATGTGGGAACGGCTGCCACAAACAACATCAACAACTGCCCTTTGGGGATAGTGGGCGCACATTGCTAGAAGAACAGCAGATCGGTTGATGAAAAGACAAACATATTAGGCATACAATGGCATAAACTGGCATACACGAGAAAATGACGTGACAGATAGAGTAATGTTCATAAGTCAAACTGCAAACATACATGTTTTGCAAGTTTGAAAATTGGTTGGTGTGTTTTTTGGTTCGTCCTTTTTCATGCTATGGCTGTATTCCTGGGAGTTTCCAGTTGCAGATGCTTAGGGATGCGCTAGCATTCCTTATATTTCTAGTTCAGTCCGCCTTTTTTCAACCCAAGTGGATACCCCATATCTAAAGTTGATGTTCTTCTCTTCAATATACTTTCCAATGGCATCTGTTGGGCGACTATTACTCCCTATCCAGGCGAGCAAGTCCATGTCTCAGAGATGTGGGGTCGTGGCGATGGGAGGTGCCAAATCTATTGGGATTTACCCGGTATTAGAATGTTGATTTTAATGATGTTATCTGGTTGGTGGTTTGGAACAGTTTTTATTTTTCCATAATATATGGAATAATCATCCCAACTGACGAATATATTTTTTTTTTTTCAGAGGGGTTGAAACCACCAGCCAGATGATGTTATGTATTGACTAATGATATCACTTGATATCACCAACAAAGTATATCACTATTTATATATTTAAGTATCTAATGACTATATAATGATATCACCAATTATTATAATGATTAATGGTGCCAATCATGGTATTTTGTGCTTATATCATTATATAGCTATAGTGTGCTAACCTATTGGAATTTCATGATATTAAATATTAAAAGGAATTAATTTAAACTATGATATGAATCATCATGCCAAACAAGACTGATATGTGATGATCCTTAATGATATTGTTTGAGGGCTGTTATCAATCCATGCATAGGTAATGATATGGTTTAGTATACCCATAACCTGTTTGGAATAGGTCACCTACAATGTGATTATAATGGATTTTACTGGAATCCAATCAAAGAATTGAAATCCATTCGGATTTCTCAATTCTCTGTCCGTTATTATGATATGTTTTTTTTTACCGTAATATATCAGCAATGTTATGGGTGTATAAATAAAACCAAGCATTTATGGTGATGTTTTATTGGATGGGATATAGCTCACCAAGAGAATATGATGGGTTTGCGCAAAACATGGGGTAGACCGGGTAGACTGGGTAGACCGTGTAGACCGGGTAGACCGGGTAGACCGGGTAGACCGCAAGTTCAAGATTGCTTCGCCTCTTAAGTTTTGTGCCTCCTCATCCAAATTATTGCTCTAGGATTCCTGTTTTTGGCCCAAAATTGGAAGCGGCCAAGCCATGGGACACGTCGGGCGGCCATATCTTCTTATGTGGTTGAACCGTTGGTTTTTATTCTCAAGCAAATTTCAACCAAGCTTCCCCATATCCCATATCATATCCCAACACATCAAGCCATTGATCAGTTCCGTGGCAGAACTTCTTGGTTTAACAAGGCGAATCGGTGAGATCAAAAAAGGCAGCCTTAACAAGCCATTTGTTGGGCTTGTTGAATGCGAGACTTGACGATCAATTGGAGAATTATATGGAGAATTCTATGGGTGAAAAATACTTGAACATAATTCCAGTCATCAGCGCACTTGTAGATCATTGTAGATCCAGTGGTTTTCGGAAATACTTGCCATTTTAGCCCAGGATTAGATTCCAGTCATCAATAGTTAAGAACAATAAGTGTTCATCCAAATCTATCCCGTTGTCAGTAACCATCAGTAACCCAAAAATTGACGACGATTAATCATGATTAACCATGATATACCCATAAAATCCATGTATGCTATATATGGTAACATTTACCATCAATATACCCCCAATGTTAGCATATATACCATACATGGATCCTATGGGATATGATTAACCATTTATCCATATCATTCTTTGTTTGAATCCGCATGAGGCTTGAGGATACCAATCAAAGTCATCTAAAGTCACGTTTGCAGCTATGCGACAAAATGGCCTTAAATGGGGTCATAAACCCTGACAGTCAGGGATCCCACGTGTCCCAGAAATGTCCATAAATGTGTCATCAAATCCCACAAATGTTCCCCCAAAAATCCAATACAAGTCCCATAACATCCCATAAATGCCACCCCCCAGAAAAAAAAAAACATGTTCAACACTAAATCCCAATATCTTGTCGCATCATCTTCCATTACCCTCGAATGTGTCATCAACTCCATCCATTCCTGGAAAATTTGCCAGTAAAACCTCCGTCCTTTTGTGGATGTCCCATAAATGTCACCAAATCACATAAAGGTCCTCCTGAAAATCCAAGATGTCCAATTTTTATATGTTTTTTCTGTTTTTTATGATTTTTTTTATGTGTTTCCAGGTATTTCCCATCTTTCCCTATGTTTTTTCTATGGTTTTTCCCATTAAACAAGGCTCCATTGTGTTCAGTCGAGGATCAAGAACACCGACATCTCGGCGCATTTGAAGCTCCCGCCCGTGAAGATCCATTGCTCGGTGCTGGCGGAGGAAGCCATTCAGGTGCGGCAATATGGTGGAGGTGGAAATGGCGGCATATGGAAAATCATGGGGAAAATCATGGGAAAATTGAGGGAAGAAATAGGGCACACATTTTTGGACTATGGGAACATATGGATTTAGCGGCACATTGTAAAAAAACATGTGGGGTTGCGCAAAAATGCCATCAAAACATGAGGAACACCATGGAACACAATATATGAAAACATGATAAAATATTATTTTATGTTGTTTTCTCTAGTACGACTATTGGCTGAATCAATTGATGATTCACCTCTCCTTTTGAAGGCCGCCATCGCTGACTACAAGGAAAAGCAGAACGTCACGGTATGAGATGCCGTGGCACGGTTTCACAAGGGTTGCGCAGAAAGTAAGCAGTACCGAAACCACACGGAAACCACTGTCAGTTTCGATGTGGAGGTGAACGACATCCCAAGAAAAATTATAAGTTGAACTTTTTGGCTCCAAGATTTTTTGAGTCCAGAAGTGTTAGCTGCTTGAAATGAGTTTGATTCTGTTTGATCGATATGCCATCAACTTGATCTCGATCCCATCGACCCTCCATGTGTGAACCGCGGGATGAAATCACCGTTAAGATCAGCCAGTTCCGAGAAAAATCAAGGCGCAACCCATTCAAAATCCCATGACATTTAACGGCTTCTTTCGGAGTTCCCAGTGCATCGGGGCTCTGGTCAGTGCACATTGCGGAGCAGTGTAGCTACGAAATCACCGCAAGCGATGGTGGTGATCTTCAGTGGCACAAAACAGCGAAATGATTGTGATAGCAGCCAGGGCAATTTGACAAATTGTGGTTTTTATTTGAGTCAACATTTGAATTTCGTGGATATTCAATGATATTCAATGATATTCAACTTCTTGGATTTCACATTTCCCAAAGTTGATTGACTAAATATACCCTCTGGTAAACTAACATAACTATGGAACATCACCATGTTTCAATGGTAAATCAACTATAAATGATCATTTTCAATAGCCCATTGAAAAAACATGGAAAAAACATTTATAGTAGCAAATTGGCTATTGAAAATGATTTCAATATAATGTTTTAATATGTTTTAATGGGTAAATCAACAAAAATAAAATCAAAGGTTACTGGATCTTGGGTGCTCCTTTACAGTTAATTACTCGGCTCGCAGTCTCCCGATGTCTTGCTACAAGTCAAGTCGACCCGCTTGCGCGGCGCAAGCTGAAGCCTTGTACAGCCGCCGTGTTCACGGAATTTTGGTGGTGCCCACTTGGCCATTGTCTCGCCAAAATACTGAATATAATATATGACAATATATTAAATATAATATATAATATATAATTATATATATATATTCATATAATGATATTCATATATCATATATCATACATTATCCACGTCTTGTTTTGTTTTTCCCAGCATGTTCTTGTTTTTTTACAACAAACTAAGTCTGGGAACGTGCTAACATGATACTGAGTGGTGTGACAACCTTACCTTTGAAACAGTCTTCCCTTTTACTTCAAGAATAGTCCCAGAACGGAACATTGGAAAGCTGTAGGCAAAGTTTCCCTGAGACCATTGGACTATAGCTGGCTTGTGAGTGGACTCCATTACACCCATCTCGCAGAGCCGTCAGCTCTTTTTCGCCCAAGGGCTGACAGACCGGCGCAGCGGCGCCAAAAAAGGAGGAACATGATTGAGGATTCATGGGTTGAATGAAGGTGTTTATCTGGCAAGGTATGAAGAATCCCTTTATATCCCATTGGAAATTCATGGTATCCCTTTCAGGCATGGGTGAAACAGAGGCCATTAGTGGCCAGCACGTGACAGCTGCCAAATGAGTAACCGCAAGAACAGGCTTGGCCAGCAACAGACTGTTCTTTGTTTTGTCACATGTTAGGGCTATTCTACCTGCTTCCAACAGGAATTGTGATGAATTGTGTTTATCCGTGATGGAAACACTTACCAATTGCATCGAAAACCACAGGTTCAAGTACATATTTGCTTCGTATTTTCTGCACCACTCCAATTCTCCAACTGACATCAATTGACATGAAATATCAATATATATATAATATTATATAGACATATAGTTTTACTACATTATATCCAATTTATATTTGTTTATATATCCATAGACTAACAATCCCTTGGTCAATTGGAGGCTCGCTCCACAAAAAATCGGGGCAAACAGGAGACCTGCGCCTCCGGAAAGGCCTACGTACGGGACGCCTGTGCTCATTTTCTATCCGGATCATGGATTCTCATAATATTGGGTAGTATAACCCATAGGATCCATGTATGGTACATATGCTAACATTTACCATCAATATACCCCAAATGTTAGCATATATACCAGCACCATGGATCCTATGGGTAACCCCCACTTTTAATATTGGGTATGTATATATATATATTAACATCCTTACTTATTGAAGACTAGCATGGATTCTCATTCCGTCCATGAAGATCATGATGTGGGAAATATCATGAACATGGTTAATTAACTATTGAACATTGGGATTTCATGGGAATATCATGGGGTTTAGGAAAAACAACCAAGAATATGGAGATTTCCTAAGTCAGGGGAGTACCTTCGTTAGCATCCTTTTTTGGGTACCTCCATTGATGGAAACCCCCCACTTGGGATATGAAACCAACCATTTTCTCGAGATATTTCATGGTTTAATGCATGATTCAGTATTGGTATGTATATATATATAATATACATAATAATTATAATCTACATATCCAGCAACATGAGATGCATGTGTCTGAAGCGGTAGACCCCAAAGGAAGCATCAAATCGTCGTAAATGTGATCATCATAATGAGTGGATTTACACATTTTAGGGGGACCTCATTTTCGGACGAACCCAAATGTCTCAACCTGTAGGTTTTTGAACACCAAAACGGATGGTGCAGATAAGACCTCAACATAGTTATGTTCAATTGTGGGACATTTGACCAACCCATTTTTGGTTGTGATCAGATAATAATTGGGTAGCAAAAAGTATTGGTAGAGAATTGGTAGAGAATAGATGGATGGGCAGATAGATGGGGATACTGTAGATAGACAGATAGACGAGCTTAGGAAAGTTTGGATGGGTTTTGATTAGATACGACTTAACCTATTCGGATTGAGTAGAGCCGCGCCTTGATTCTCATCCTCGAAAAGAACACCCGCGAGGAAGCCACCAATCCAAAAAGGGACCAAAGCTAGAGACCCGAAATCCCTGGCAGGTGGGGAAAAAGGTCCTCATAAACGTTCACATGTAGGTGACCTACTTTGGTATCACAGCCTAGATTTAACCCCTTCAACAGCAAGAATGGGCTCGAGAAGTTGATATTTGACAATTTTAGGTTCCGTATTGGTCTATTGTTCATCAACATAAACATCCCGGCGGGTGGGAAACCGCGCTAGCGGTTAAGCACTTTTTTGAAAAAACACTCTTCTGGCGCTGTGGCGCCGTACACATTTTTAGATCAACATTACCTTAAATTTTGCCAGGCAAAATTAAGTGACTTTGAAGGAATGACGTCGTATTTACAGGGTTTTGTGCTTCTGGCAGGGTGTTCGATTTTTACTTCTGCTCTGGACGTCTCACTTCTCCAAGTGTTTGCTTAGAGCGTGGCCGGTGAGAGTGAGGAAGTCTGTGCAATTTCCATGGTGCCATCGCCGTTGCCAAATTCTAATTCCTTGAAGCAACTTAGGGTTCACAGCACCACCTTTACGTGTGCTCCGAGAACTTGATACTGCACCTTACCCCCCACCCCTTAAAATGTATGGAGAAGGGGGGGGAGGCAGGGAATTTTTCATACATTTCCACCCCCCTCCCTCTGACACGGGTATTTATTGTATTAACTTTTTTGGGTAAAATTAAGAGATTACCTACAGAGGTTGGGGGTGCTCTTCATACATTTTCAGTATTTGGCTTCAAAAGCTTGTTTAGAAAAAGGTGGGGAGAGGGTTTCATACATTGATTTTGCAAGGCCATGGATCTTTGATGCTCATGGAGTTTTCCTGGGGAATCTTACGAAATAGCATGACGCTTTTGAGGCCCCTCCCTTCCCCTGAAATCTAAGTTTGCCTCACCCCCATGGGTTAATACATTCATAATTCCCAAATTTGGAGGGGGGGGGAATTGAGATGGAGAGGGGGTGGAAATCAACCGATGGGCATCGCCAGTTTTTGAAGTTGAAACAACATAGTCCCCCTTACTTTCATACATTTCCAGTGTTTTGCAGAAACCACCTAGTCCCCCCTAAATCTTATACATATTTGATATTGTTTCATCTCATCCAGAGTACTGCAGTACATGAACATGGTCCGTGTCCCCTATGCTTCATACATTTTAAGATTTTTAACTTGCAATGAATTGATAGTTCATAGTAGCAGCTCACCCCCCAGAGGAATACTTGGGGCTTCCCAAATATTGCTTTGTGCTGGTGCAAGGCAGGTCCCCCCCATGTCTCATTCGATCAAAAACAATAATGTATAAACCTTCTTGACACCTCTTTCCGTCGCCGGGCTTGACCACCTGCCCCCCCTACCTTTCATACATTTGATGGAAATGTATGAACATGGGGGGGTGTATACATACGGAAGGCAGGGGGGTTGCACCTTTGAAGATTTTCCACATTCCATCGATACCACCGGTGTGCACAAGCAAGGTACCCCATTTTTTCTCTTCTTGATGCAAAAGATGCCCTTACTATGTACGCAAGTTACATGAATGTTATTATCTCACCCCACCCCACTCAACCCCCAACCACTGACGTAGCAGCAGCGTAGCATCACGTGTGTATGCAAGTCACATGAACGTTATTATCCCACCCCACCCAACCTGCAACCACTGACGTAGCAGCAGCGTAGCATCACGTGTGAGCGCAAGTCACATGAACGTTATTATCCCACCCCACCCAACCCCCAACCACTGACGTAGCAGCAGCGTAGCATCACGTGTGCACGCAAGTCACCTGAACTTTATTATCCCACCCCACCCAACCCCCCAACCACTGACGTAGCAGCAGCGTAGCATCACGTGTGTATGCAAGTCACATGAACGTTATTATCCCACCCCACCCAACCCCCAACCACTGACGTAGCAGCAGCGTAGCATCACGTGTGTATGCAAGTCAATGAACGTTATTATCCCGCCCACCCCCCCCCCCCCCCCCCCCCCCCCCCCAACCGCCATATTCAAAAAGTAGCAGGACTACACGCGCGGTTTTCCACCTGCTAGCATAAACATCCAGCAATAGATAATTTCATGTGGTTTCCCCATGGATTTGATTACCCGTATGTATAATATATATATATAATTATATATATAATTATATATATATAATTATATATATATTTATTTATATTTATTTTTACATACATGTTCATTTTTCATCTACATACAGTGTATATATTATATAATATGTATCTATCTACACCAGGGCAAAATTGCTGCGAAAGTGTATCACCGAAGACATCTCCAGTCGTCCAAGTGAGGCCATGTCAGTGAGGGCGAACTATGCCATGCGGCAGATGCCGGCGATTTTGGATCATGTGGGGAAAGCTCAGGAGCTGGATGGTACACAGATGTGAACCATGTATGCATATTGGTTGACCGTCATCATCCACATTTTGGAGAGTCTGGGCATGTTAGGAAAATGTTTTCACACCACAGGATGTTACTCTTTGATTTCCTTTGAGTTTTATAAACATGGTATGTATTTCATGTATTGAAATGCATCTGCGACATTCTTGGGGTAAATGTTGCGAATATGCCACTCATGGAACAGCTGGGATGGTTCTTCATTGAGGATTGCTACCTTCAATAGGAAACATTATTTTTTTCCCCCGCAGCAGAAACTCAGCCCGACAAAAAGGCGCATTGAAAGGGGGACTGCATCAACTATCAACAGGTTGTTGATGATCAGTGAAGTCCTTGTTTGTTTTCAAAAATCATACGATCTTTATTGATGTGGTTAAAACAATAAGCCAGCCATATGGATTGATGGTTTATACCACCATTTGTGGCAATCATTCATGTTCCGCGATCCTCTTTGTTTTTCTCGAGGCAGCCAAGAACCATGTTTTAGAGGCCCTGAGACCGGCAATGTGGCGATGCATCGGGACAAATTTTCATCATCACGTGGCATGTTTCCTTTTGAAATGCCAGTTGGATAGGGAAAACTATTGGAAACAAACAAAAGGTTGGAATTTGAATTTGACGCGGATTCTTCGTTCAGTGATCGTGTGGGTTTTGTTTGAAAGTTGGATAACCCCAAAATGTGTTGGTGTATCCTCATGTCCTTCTTAAAATGGCAGGTGTTGATAGTGTTTGGATAGTTTTGTTATATTATAACTTAAAGTCGCAATTTTTGACACCGAATTGGATCGAGGTGGTGATATATCCCATGACATATCCCCTTCTGAATATCCCATGTTTTTGCAAACATGTTTTTTCAGTGGTTGCTATTTCCAGGTGCGAGAGATGTTGGAGGCCATTGGGATCATCCAGCTGCAGCTGCCATTCAGAAATCCGATTTTATGTTGTACATCCACCGTGCTGTGTAATATTTCTCATTGGCGATCATATATGATATCATATTGATTCATATTAGGTCTTATCTAATTTCAAGAGCAATGAAAAGCCTGTTTTCTGAAGGTCCAGCACGGATAGGTACGGATTATTACGGATTACCAATTTTTTTGGGTGCGGTACGTTGGAACGGTGGTACGGTATAATGGGTACGGTGGATACGGTACAGTGGGTACGGTACGGTGGGTAATTACGGTGGGTACGGTGGGTGCAGGGGTACGCACCGACCGTACCCACCGTACTGTACCCACCGTTCCAACGTACCGCACCCTAGGACCGTACCCTGAAAAACAGAGCATTGCTCTTGAAATTAGATGAATTATTATCATATGATATCCATATAGAATCATATAGATCCATAGAGTAATATTCCCATTTGATCACCATTAATCACCACTAAACCCATGGTTTCTGGGCGGTTTCAGTAGCCCTTCGGGATTTTTGAGGGGAGCCGTGGGACGAGCGGGGCGACAGGTGAAGGGAGCTGATCCGAATTATATCCACGTGGGGTGGCCATGGATTAACACACAATGATTTCCAGATGTGGTATACATTCGCAACTTTTCATTTTTTTGTTTTATGGCATTTACAATGTTTGTGGATTTCCATTGGATGTCAGGAACTGTCAGAAACTTTTGAAGAAAATTGGTCATTGAGTCATTTTTCTAAAGCTTACATCACCTGGCTTAGGAATCTTAGGAACTGGTTGGACCATTTGTTTGACCAATTCATATGGAAAACAGCAACAAAGAACAAAGTCGCCCATGAGGTCCGGAAAGATTCCTGGGCCATCTCGGACACCAGGTGCGAGAGGTTCTCTAAGGTTAGCTGTGAGAATGGATATTCCTTTAACAACAACATGATCTGGTTCTGTAGCGGATGAAAATCTGAGGAATTGACCCAAGAAATCGTAAATATCATGGGAATATCATGGGATATAACCTGGTTGGTGGTTTCAAACATGGCTTTTATTTTCCATTTCATATATGGGATGTCATCCTTCCCATTGACTTTCATATTTTTCAGAGGGGTAGGTATACCACCAACCAGATATTCCATTAATAACAATAACAACAACACCAGGATGTTCCACAATATGATTTTCGATTAGCAACATGATATTCCATTAACACCCCCCAAAACAAACTGGATGTTGGTATTTGTTGTGGACCAGAAAACGGTATATTATAAGGGATTATGCCACGCAAAATAATATGAGAATCCATGATCGTCCAAAATATACTGCTCAGTTGGTTGCAGAGCTTCAGCCCTTTGCGCATTGCCAATATGGAGTCTGCGGCCAGGGTGTAGTGTTCCAGTTGCATCCGGACAATTTTGCGCCACCATTTCCCTGGTGGTTTTCCTCATATGTTTTGCAACACCAGATGTTGTTTCTTGAAACCGGCTGGTTGTTTTTTGTGTAACTTCACCTAGAGTCTAAGAGCGCTCAACAAGCTGCTTTGAGCAGGTTGGAATTTTATGAAGAGATCACACCTTTGGTGGTGGCAGCTGAGTATGGTGCCTGCGAAGTCATCAAGGTCGGATCTGTTGTCAAGCCAGAAAGGTTTGATTCTGAATGTCTCGGACGAAGATTCTTCAGGTTGCATGGCTTGGCAGGCTTGGCATGTCCAAAATTATGTTTGAATCTGAAGGCCCATGGATTATGGTTTATATACAGTTTACTTTAGCTTTAGTTCAGGATTTTTATGTTGTTGCGACTGGCTAAGAATTCATCCAACTTTGAGCTTGACATGAACTCCAACCCCATCGATCATCTGATAAACTTGTCTTTCTGTCCAGAGTTCCGCAGCGATCCCAATGCTAGCTTCTAACGTAGATGGGTGGGTGTCCGAAATCATGGAAATCCTGTTTGTACTCGTGCAAAAAGCAATGAACGCTGGCTTCCCAACTGAAAAAAAAAGATGTTAGTTTTGAAGTCCTGAGAGCGGTGCCATGGCATACATGGCAGCCCAGAAGACAGGTTCTCTTCAATCACCCTCAGATCGATGTGAATCTGTGTTGCTGTGCCTTCAATGACAGTCCCTTGACTGCGATCCCACATCGGGTTCGTTCCACCGGGGATGATGACGACTCAAGCAGCACCACTGATGGCGAGTGTAAACCTTTAAAAACCAGTCACAAGAATGGCACAAGAATGTGAAACTTTGGATACCAGGAGATTCCAGGGTTGGACTATTTTTGGGCTAGTTACGATGAAATCGCTTCTCTCTGGGATTTTTTTTGGTCGGCTTCAAAGAAGCACCATAAAGCCCTTGGTGCTGAGGCGAAATCTACAACTACTATACAGCGTGCACCAACTGAAGCAATCCGACAACTGGGTTTCTGGATGGGTTTTTTGGGTAGATGTTCAACCAGCTGATCCATGGATTCTCAGATCCAGCGAATGATTTTGATGATTTCGATATAACTTGATGGTTCATCCCAGATTTTCTGGCCCTATGTTTGCCTGATCGCAGTGGCAGCAGCGGACGATCAAAATATCAGCGCCATGTAGGTATGATGTGACCATTGCCAAGAAGCATCCTCATGCAGTCCGGAACCCGCAGCGGGCGCAGCGGGCGCAGCGGGTGCAGCATCCCAATTGGTGCAGCTTTTGACGATAGAAACGAGCAATTGAGCGTGAATCACATTTTGTTTGTATGCTGGCGCGGAGGAATCTCTTTATTGATCGAGTTCAAGATATAGACCGGAATGTGGAAGTTTCCCTTCTAGAATTTTCGGGTGTGACGTACGAACAATGATTTTGTGCAGGGATGTAAATATTGCTACAAACAGACCCAAAGACTGATGCTACTGTACTAAGTCTGCAAAGGTTGCTCATTGCTGCTTGTTACCTGATGCAGGGGGTTCCATTAATGGAGGTACCCCAAAATGAATGGCTTATAATGGAGAATCTTCCTGTTATTGGGTATTTGGGGGGTACAGTACCTCATTTTAGGACACCTCCATTTATATTTGTGTTGGATGGTTGTGGTTCCATAGTGTTTCATCGTGGTGTCGAGTCTTCTTCCGGGGACCTGTTGCCGACATTCTTAACCAATCACCAAGTTGCGTCTAGCCACAGTGTACCCTGCAATACTGTGGATGGTTGCGAAATCCTGCACCACCTTGAATGGTTGAAACCCTATAATAAACAATGGGATAAACCACCTATCAATCTATCAACTGGTGCAGGATTTCGCAACCATCCGCAGTATTTCCCTGTTGATACCTTCAGCATTTTTTGGCTGCTTTGCTTTAGTCGCATCAACTGAAACGTTGCCACTTTTCTTAGGGGAAATGCCATTGTCCGGTCACCCAAATTGGATATACGGATATACGCGTTTAAGATTTTAAATAGATAATGTTAGATCCCATGATATCTCCATTCCCCATTAAAGGATATTAAACCACCATGTCTGATGCTCCGCCAGAACTAGCAGGTAGCCGGGGGCCTCCCAGATCCTAAGGCGGCGCTGCTGCGTGCGCGAGGCGTGCTACCAGCTTCGAGTGAACATGGTCGGGGCAGCCAGGTTTTTCAGGGGTCCAGCTGAATGGGATTATTTTTATGGTGATTTAGGATGAATCTGATGATAATTTCGGATGATTTGATCATGGAAGAATCCTGGTGTTGGTTGATGCCATTTTATGGCTATATGCCATGTTTTTTTCAATGGAGATGTAATGATTATAGAATCTTCAAGCCCAGTCAGGGTTGCTCCAACCCATTATAGGTGAATGATAGCCACAAGGGAGAAGAATGAGTCATTTTATGCCATTTCACCTAGATAAATATACCCATTTTATCCCCGTGAATAAGATTGAATAGGAATACAGATCCCTAAGCGGTGTTCAAAAATAAAATCAAGGGGCTTGAGCCCGAAATATTTTTAAATTTATTTTTCAGAAGGTGCTTATCATAAGTTTTGAGTAGGTCAGACCCCTATGATTTTATTTTTGGGACATGGGCCAAGACCAAGAACCAACCCCAATGCAGCTGGTGGAGTAGCTTTAGGTTGGGTCCCTTTGGTTTTATTTTTGCGTTTTGCTTACCTTTTTGTTTTGTTGGAACATGTTGGAACACACCTCTTGTGTTGGAATTGGTGGGTTTGGATATGTTTGGATTCAATATTTGATAGATTTTGGGGAAAATAAAATCCAAGGTTCCCAAGCTTGTAGGATTTTGTTGGGTAGTATGGTTGGAATATATTGAATCTATGCTTTGTTTGGTGGTCACTATTGTTTGGGCAGAAAAGGATGCAGCCAGAACAAACACGCCACAAACAAGAAAAAAAACTATGGATTGTGAACCGCCACAGTATTTGTTGTAGGATGTGATTGGGAAAGACGGGAAACCAAAGACATACCAAGCCGGAGCAGCGAGAAAAGGAAGATGCGCGTTTTTCAGCTGATTTCACAAACACATAGGCTGACCTTGAACCCCTTCAGTCTTATTTCTGGAACATTTTGGATGCTGGCTTGGAACCTTCTTGATTTTATTTCTGGAACCTCTTGATTTTATTTTTGCAAACCCCTCAGTTGGATGACTGGTGATTTTCATGATTTTCTCTTTGCGCAACGTGTGGGGTTGAACTCCCCTGATTTCATTTTTGCATTTTGGGGGTCAGTAGCCTGGGCCCCCTTGATTTCATTTTATTTTTCAGGGGCTCAACCCCACCTGGGTGCACCACAAGGGGATAATACAGTACGTAGCTATGTCTATGGCTGTTTGAGTGCTCCCCTGTGTTCTATCCACTTGACTCATGTTTCTGGGACGCCAATTCGTGGCCAAGTTTTCAAACCTGCCTTCGACGCTGTACATGGACGTCCCTTGCGAGAGGACATGAACCACACGTCAGGGGCCCAAGTTGGGTCTATCGGAGATGTAAGAAACATATCCTCTGACGACTTGGGTCAATCATCGAACTAAATGGGCCACAATTGTTTGATGGGTGTTACATCCCATAGGATCCATGTATGGTATATATGCTAACATTTGGGGTATATTGATGGTAAATGTTAGCATATATACCATACATGGATCCTATGGGCATGGTGTTACTAAAGCCAAAAATGATCGGTTTATGGCCAGGGTAGGGCCTTGGGGTCCGCCCCGGGAACATCTGTGGACGCCAGGATTCAATCGTCCCAAAAGAAGGAAAGAACATGAAAGAACACAAGGCAACCATAGGCAACCCAAATAATGCCCAAACATCAAACAAAATGTCCTTGAAACTTGAAACCCATCCGGATTCTTCATGGAATGTTTATCAGCTCACGAGTGTCCTGCACTTCTCTGCATTTCTTCGCGCATTTGTGAGATGACATTCCGGGTGATTCCTTCACAGCAGGTACGAAGACGACAGCTTCGGCGAGGGTGAAATTCCCCGATGGGACACGGCCTTTCTGACGTGATTCAAGGGTGGCATCAGGGACTACAACCTGTTTGTTGGGCTTCACTATTGGTTTGCTTGAAAATGGTTTAGTTTAATCATCCTAAATCTAGCGGTTTGACATGGTCAATCAATGTCAACCATATAATTTCCTCTACCGAAGTGGCTATTTTGGGTGATTTTGGGGCGTTTTTTCCTGGAGTATATCACATTTTCCCGGTCGTAGTTCCAACATCAGCACCCTCCCCCCCAACCCCCCAACGAGAGAAACGTCAATTACACTACAACTAGAAATAAAGATAGCACCTCCATAGCTATTATATTGAGATATAACACACTATAACACGCTACAACTATATAATATAATATATATATATATATGTGTGGATGTGACTTTTCGATGACTTTGGGGAAATATAGCTATGGAGGTGTCCCTTTGGTGAGGGTACCAGTGATCCAAGTGCCAGGTGGCCCAGGGTGACCCCGAACTGGCACTTGAACTGCAGAAGGCCCAGATTGGAAGTGCTGCGTTGACGGATGTTGATAACAGTTTGCTATTTAAAATGGCCATAGAAATAGTGGATTTTTACCCATTATTAAAATTGGTGGATCTTTCCATAGTTTTTCGTAAACCTTTACCAGGCCGGGTATACATGCTTATAATTACAATCACCGCTACTATCTATCCAAATCTATCCAGGGTCCTGGGGATTATGGGCTACTTATTTTCTTTGTAGATTGTGGATGATCACAATCCAGCTGGGAAATATCTGTTCTGAATTCTGAACCGTCTGCAGTGTTTCAATCTGAATGATTTCTTGGAGCAAGACTTTGAATGCAGAATGATGATAAATGATGAACAAACATGATAAATCATGACACATATTATGATGATGATTGATGATAAATATTGTTGAATATCATGAACTATGACATTATGATGATCAATGAGGGTAAACGATGAAAGTTTTCGCAATCTTCGGCTGTGAACTATGTTTCGTTGGACCTAAGACGGTATTCATGTCCCATGTTCACCCTTGGGGTGGTGGTTCAACATTTTCTCCATGGAAGGTGGCTGAAGCCTTGAGTACCAGCAAGGAACAGTCCTTGAAGAACAGGAACAAGATCTTTAAGGACCCCTTGGTCAGTGGGGGGAAGCCTTGGTGGTTAGCTTCGAGCCATGCTGATTTTGGGAATGGACCACCACTATCGTCACTATCGTCTTTTGTTGGAAGGTGAGAAATGCTGAACCTCAAGGAACATCATCCATTACATTCCATTACCATGTTGTCTGGGTAAATTATAACGACCTCACTGTTCTCCCTCACTGGAAATCATGGTTAGTAAGGGGAATCATCCCCAAATGGCCGCAAGATTCAGGTTAGTGAAATATTATAATTTACCCAGGTGTTGTTGAACCAGCTTGCGGGATTGATTCATACTTATTCTCAACCATGAAATGCCTGAAAAATCTGCTTGCAAGATGGGTAGCCCCCCCCACCAGGTCACCAAAAGCATCCAAAAACGCCAGCCATGATGGGTTCCTGGTTGCCTCAGAAAGTGATCTAAAAATGGTGAATTTTCTATATATGTTATATGTATAAATCAATTACTGGGACGTTTCGGGTTCAAAAACCTATGATTCTACGATACAGTCTATACTTGGAGGTGATGAACATCCATTTGCCATATCGTGTTTGTTCACTCATCCATTTTAGTTCGATGATTTTCCGCATGAAATGCTCATGTGTAGATGATTGTTCCCATTAAAATCCAGCAAGAATCACCTTCAGAAAAATGGGTAAATCATGGTAAATCATATATCAATCAATGGATTGGTTTGAGAGAAAACTTACAGGACACATCCATATTTCATGGGAAAATCAATGGTTTTCGTTAAGAAATCCATTGAATCAATGGGCCGTTGAGGCCAATGAGGGCTGGGCTCATGGTTTTTTCTGCTGATCGGTGGCCAGGCCTTGGTCATGGATTGGCACCCGGACCGCGCCAAAGATCCCGAGCTGTCGACCAAAGTCTTCCAGTGGCTACAGGCCATCGAAACCGCGGCGGAAACCGCTGCGGGTGGCAAGGGGTTATTCGTAAGCTCATCTGTATATGGTGAAGTACCCTCTGGTTATGTCAAAATAGCTATTGAAAATGGCCATTTATAGTGAGTTTTTCCCATTAAAAATGGTGATTTTCCGTAGTTATGTTAGTTTACCAGAGGGTACATATGGTGAAGTAAGTGAAGTATAAGACTCTAATAGTTCAACTAAGTATATATGAAATTAGAACTATTATAATTGAAATGATATGAATATATCCGAGGGATTCCGAAGGATTCTCCCACTATGATGTTGTATTTCGGAATAACTATGGTAAGAATCCACATGTTTTTATTTTTGTTTTGGGTTTATTGATATAACATTTACACCTCCATAGTCGTTGGTGAACTTTCAAGTTAAACTAGTTGAACTGCCCAGGTACATCCAATGGCCCAAGATAGTTACCAGTGTGACTTGGGTATATGAATTTTAATGTATATAATGTATATTAATTATGTAATATATTATAATATAATATAGTATCATATATAATAATAATCCATTATAATCCTAGAATCCAATGGTTTAATACATGTTAATGCCTTTTTTGCCTATGATCATGGCATCTTGGGGTAGCCCAGCCTTTTTAAAGGCCTTTCCGCTGCAGGTGGTGAGACCCTGGTACCTGGAGGAGGGGAAGAAAGGGATGTCGTTCCCAAAAAAGTTCACATGGACCTTGTTATTGACTTGGATTAGCTGGGGAGAAGGGGGATTTGCATGGATTTACACTAGTAAAACTGGGGATATTTAACAGGAAATTTCAGGAGATATACAACCAACATCAACCAAAAATATGGTATATGGGTTTGTCTGAAAAAGGGATATACTTCGAAATGATCAGTGAAATATATAGGGAACATATGGAAAAAAATATTGTTAAACATTCAAAAAATGAGATACCGAATTTCCAGACACCCATGTGTTTGCATATATATATATACATATATATATATTGTTGAATTGATGAAGCTGTCTTGTCTATGCTTGATTCTCGTACAATTCCCCAACATCTGTAGGTGAAACATCAATCAGCGTGTGCTTCAATGTGTTCTTAAGTAGGACGGGCAGACTCATTTGTCTTGACAATCAACTCCCTCACTTTTTAGGACCACGCACACATCCAAAAAACCTCAAAACACAACAACATCCGACCCAAGCCATTGAGCCATTTCCCCAAAATTACCATGTCTTTTTTTGGGAATGGCTCAAAGCCGACAGTCTCATCATGGGATTCTTGAGGCTTAACCACCAGCCAGATGAAGATGATAATCCCTTCACTTTTTTTTAAAATGTTCCCAATAATAAAACCTAAGGCTAGTAATGATTAGTGAGATCAACTAGTAAGAAAGGATCACCCCACGAGACTGAAACAAGTTGATAATCATTGATTCATAACGATCACCACTGGATTGGCTTGTTGGGGAACATCTGAACACTGGAAACCATGGATTTTCCCATGATTTCTATGGGGCTTTAACGTAAGGTGTCTCCCTTACACCAAACCATTGAAAGGAGAACGAGGAACCCGCAGCTGTGGAGCTCCCTCCCCTGATGCAATCCACGGATCAGGAGCGACGCAAGCGGAGAAGCTTCGGGGGAAACTAACATAGAGTCATTAGATGATGCCAATGATATAGATTGAATGACGATGATATACAGTAGATGGATAGTAGAAGTCTCGGATGACATGGAATTGTGTTATATATGGAGTTTATAGATGTGTGTCATATCAATGATGGATTTATGGATTTATTTATGGATTTATTTATGTCCTACGCGTGTGTTATCATAAATATATTTCCCAGCACTCTTGTCTTTTCATGAAAAAGTCAAATGTCATTTGATGGCATGGTTTAGTCAGCTTTTGGATATCTTCCTTTTTGAGGAGTACAAAGTAATGAGAGGGCTTGACCACTTCAATGTCTTGATTCAGTCTTGATTATTCCTTGCAGAATCAATGCGAACACCATCAAATGACGACTACGATGATGATGTTGATGCTGATGCTGATGCTGATGATGCTGCTGCGGATGATGATGATTAATGATTCATTATTCCCCACATCTTTTTCCCCACATCTTTGTGTGGGGTTCTTGTTTTTGGTTGGGCACTCCCGCGCTGCCTCCTTCCTCCGCCTCCTCCCGCCTCCTCACACACAACTTACACACACACAACTTGTCCACACAAAACTTACTACTTACTCACACAACTTGCTCACACACAACTTCCTCACACACAACTCGGAACTGGGACCCCGGTGACCCCCTGCTTCAAAATATAATGTATATATATATAATATGAGTCGCCCGCGAAGATTGACGTCTATTCAGATGGTACACACACACACACCCTGCCTTTGGCAGGGTGGTGTCCAGGCACATGAGGTCAAAATGAGGATGAAAAGGGGAATGAGGATGAGATGAAAGTGAAAATGAGATGAAAGATTACTTAACCGGGACCCGAGGAGGGGAACGCAAAAGAAGAGGGAAGAAGCAAACACACACCAACACACCTGGTCCGGAGCGGGCAAACCCTTAAAAGAAAAGCGGAGGACGACGGACACGGAACAAGACCAGCGGAGGTGGGGGGAAGACGGAAGCGCTTGAACCAACCTGACACAGCGAAAACGTACGCCTACCTCGGCACACGCAGGACCCGACCTACCCAGGGAGGGAAGAACGCATGAAATAGGGGACCGAATGCGGAACTAGTTGGTGAACCAAAAAAACAACAACGGTTAAAGGGGACCCAGTTCAACCCTAGAGAGGCGTGCGTAGTTCCCAAAAAGGGACCGTAGTCAAGTCCAGCCACATGGGCATAAACGGCTATTCAAGTTCCAACGAATTAGATGCACGATGTGTTCAACCACACCAGAAACCAAAGTGACCACACCTGCAGGAAAAGGACATGAAGGTTCCAAGGGATGAAGCAGGACTGCGGGAGCCGCAGGACTGCACAAAATGGTGAGAAACGGAAAGGCCAACTGTTGCACTTTACGTAAACGAATTACCAGCTTAGAAATGACAATTCAGTAATCCGGTCAGTCGACATTCACCCACAAAGGGGTTGCCTCCAATGGCCCTATGGCACCATGTCAGAGCCACCATAGGAATCACACTAGACAAGAGTGGATCTTTTAAGTGATCCGTCGGGAACTGAGTCCCCTAACGTGCAATTAGATTGGTTACATATGTATATATAAATATATATGTGGGCTATGGTGGCCACCAGCTGCGACTTAAATGCGCCTAGGTGCACCCCCAAAGCCCAGCAGGTACGTTTGCACGGCTCCCGGGGCCTTCATTGGTCACCGACCCCCCCGGGATCCCGGTGACCCCCTGCTTTAAAATATAATATATATATATATATATTATATAATATGAGTCGCCCGTGAAGTTTGACGTCTTTTCAGACGGTACAACCTTGTCACACACAGCTCTTTCACCCAACCTGTCTTGCACCATCTCCTTTCCTTCCTGCCTTTCCCATCTCATTTTCACATCTGCTTGGTGATCATGGGAAGAAGTTTACATGTGGGGTTATCTGGTCCTTTAATGATTATTATTTGTATTATTTGTATAGTCATACTATTATTATCTATCGTTATATGTGTAACATGTATGATGATAGTGACTATTTTCATTTTATGTAGTAATACATTTTTAATTAACATTATATGTATAATATGTACAATAACCATTATTGTTATCAGTATTGCATGTACTGATGATAATTTTAATGATAATAACTCTTCTTATATGTATAATGTGTTCAATAATATTTTTTATATGCAGTATTTTTGCTTTTAATTATATGTATGTTTATATGATATGTATAGTTTTTATAAAATGTATAATGTGTATAATAATATTTTTTGATAATATCAATTATTATATGTGTAAGATTATATGCAAAAGAATAATAACAGTTACTATTTTTATTGTGTGTAATAATGCTAAGTGTTATTGTTATTGGTCATTATTGAATGTAAGTAGTTTACCATATATATATAATATGTATAATATACACATTTCCCATGAATAAAACCACATCAAGCCACAAAGTCTTGGCCCGCCCTGATTTGCCGATTTTGTCAGGAGTTTGGTCCAGCTCCGGGACAAGCAAAGGAATACATGCACCCCTCAGGTTGGATGTGTTCCTGAGGATGTTCGTTGGTGGAGGGAGGAGGATTTTCCCATAGAAATCCCATAGATACAGTATACGGATTTTTGGGTTTCGATATGTGAACATCGTCTACAATAGGGGCATCTCCAGTTTCAAAGGTCCAATACCAGACAGGTGGGCCATAGATGGTCATACTGTAACCAATCAAAAATGGGTTGCAAGCCAGAGATGCCGAGGTGCAATCAGAGACTGGGTTCGGTAGATGATGTTTAGCTTCATAGACTGGTCCACAGCATTTCTGTGCCATGGTCAAAGGTTTCATTTAATGAAAAATATGGGGGCCGCCATCAATCCATTGATTCGGATATTATTTGTGTATATATATATATAGCATTATATATAATATATATATATATGTGTGTATTATAAAAAATATATAAATGCATTATATATATCTATATATATATATGCATTATACACCCCAGTATATAGGTAAAATAAGGCTTCCCATGATGGGCGGGATGACCATATCCCATTAAAATCCCATCTCAGTGGGGTTTGGTGCTGCAAATGGAAGGACATGTAATGCTTCATACCCAATCCAGTTTTTTTGTTGAAGGGTTGTCTTCAAGCAATCGCTGTGTTGAAAAACATAGCGATATCTTACGTCAGCTGATAAACCTCAGAGAAATCGTGGTTTCCCACTCCTTAGTGGTCGAATGCCACCAGGGGATGGTTCGCATTTTCAAGTTTACTAAAAGAAACGCACAGACCCCGAGGTATGCCCAAGCCCAGAATAGCCTAAATACCAGGGAATTCTGTGAGACATCAAAGAACGGGAAGGATGTTATGTTCAATTATGTAGCCAGAACATGTTGCCTCTACATATCATATAACCAGAACATGTCGCTTCTACAAATCATATGGAAGTAACCATACAGTCATTAGGGTTTCTGATAGGGTTTTCAAGAAGATATCAAACCCCCCCAGCCCCATGAAACAATTAATGACACAGTCATGAGGGTTTCCTATGGGGTTTCAAGAAGATATCAAAGTCCCCCGGCCCCATGGAACAATTAATGACACAGTCATTAGGGTCTCTTATAGGGTTTCAAGACGATATCAAAGTCCCCCCGGCCCCACGGAACAATTAACCATACAGTCATTAGGGTTTCTTATAGGGTTTCTTATAGGGATTCAAGAAGATATCAAAGTCATCCGCCCCCATGAAACAATTGACCATATAGAAACTAGTTTTTTTTTAAGGGTTTCAAGAAGATATCAAGATCATCATCACCATCACCATCACCATCATCTTCATCATCATCACCATCATCATTATCATCATCGTCGTCATCTTCATCATCTTGGCTTGCCCGGACGCTCGTCGCGAGTCCGGGCAAACCTCAGGGGCTTGCCGTGATATGATACAGTTGGCCCTGGTCGACGGAAGATGTGCATGTCTAGCAAAAGACATTGAAGTGCCCGAACTTATTCAGATTTTGGATAGTATGATCCTGTCTATTAGATGGAAAAACCTTAAAGATTTACCCGTGAGTCTCCAAGTCTTTGGAGCGTGGCTGTTGGAGCCATGTTGTCGCCGGCCACGGTCGGTGGTCGTAAGGGTTCCCCATTTAGTGGTGACCGTTGTGTTTGTGGTAATTGTAACACTCTGGGTACCCATGCTCATGTGTGTTGGGAATGAATGTGATCAAAGACCCAAAAAAACTTCAACCCAAGGATCCTTTGGATGCTAGGTTTGGTTGGTCTAGTGTGTCCAGTTTGCGCTGGCTAGAGCGTGTTCAAGAGACCTTTTGGGAGTCTAGGTATGGTTCTTCTAGGTCGCGATGACCAACGCTGGTTTAGGGTTCCAGGTCTCTGGTCTACTAGCCTGAGACTTAGGTTTGAAAGGTATTGCGCCGGCGGCTTGCACTGCCGACACAAGCGTGCGCTGTGCATTTGGGCGCTGCGCATGCCAAAGTCCTACTCCTACTCCTACTCCTACTGCTACTGCTACTGCTGCTGCTACTACTACCACTACCACTACCACTGCTACTATTACTACTACTACTACTACTACTCCTACTACTCCTACTACTACTACTACTACCACTACTACTACTACTGCTGCTGCTGCTACTGCTACTGCTACTGCTACTGCTACTACTACTCCTACTCCTACTCCTACTCCTGCTCCTGCTCCTGCTCCTGCTCCTGCTCCTGCTCCTGCTCCTGCGCCTGCGCCTGCGCCTGCGCCTACGCCTCCGCCTCCGCCTCCGCCTCCTCCTCCTCCTACTACTACTACTGCTGCTACTACTACTAATTACTAATTACTAATTACTAATTACTACTAACTACTACTAATTACTACTAATTACTACTAATTACTACTAATTACTACTACTACTACTACTACTAATTATTACTACTACTACTACTACTACTACTACTACTAACTACTACTAACTACTACTAACTACTACTAACTACTACTAACTACTACTAACTACTACTAACTACTACTAACTACCACTAACTACCACTAACTACCACTAACTACCACTAACTACTACTAACTACTACTAACTACTACTAACTACTACTAACTACTACTAACTACTACTAACTACTACTAACTACTACTAACTACTACTAACTACTACTAACTACTACTAACTACTACTACTAACTACTACTAACTACTACTAACTACTACTAACTACTACTAACTACTACTAACTACTACTAATTACTACTAATTACTACTAATTACTACTAATTACTACTAATTACTACTAATTACTATTAATTACTACTACTACTACTACTACTAATTACTACTACTACTACTACTACTACTACTAGTACTACTACTAGTACTACTACTATTACTATTAATTACTACTACTACTACTACTACTACTACTAATTACTACTACTACTACTACTACTACTACTACTACTACGATGTACTTGCATAGGCTAATATACCATGAGGATTCATACGGGTTATCAAGCGGCAGATTTGGGAGTTCATTTTCTCTTTTTGAAGACAACCACATTGATTTTGACGTTTCCACGTGGCCGCAGGCAACTTGTTCTCCGTGTGGTGACCGTCGCCTACAGAGTGAATCAGCTCATTAGGACCAAGTCCTAGGCGTTCGGTGGCATCAAAAAAAGGATTCCCTGCAGCATCAATTCCTAGGATTCCAGGACGTTTTTGATGTCGGCCACACCGAACCTGCAACAAACCTTTAAACTCGCAGAATAAAACATAAGACGCATCAAGACACTGTATATCATGTAGCAACACCCGCAACACCCGAAAAAACGCATCAAAATTGAGTTTGCTGAGTTTGTTGACAGCTTCAAATATGCATTATTTGTCGGCCCATGTTTGTGATGTCCCGATCAAACTCAATGGATTCGGCCAGCCCTATGCAGGGAGCTGTTGTGGGCGCTGTACCTACCAGCGGGCGCACTTTTCCAGGACGCTGCGAAGGTCGCTTTTGGGATCCCCCGAATTGGTGGAAGGGGTTTCCACAATCCAACACATTTTGTTTGTTTAACCCTGTCTTGGGGTGCTTACTCCGAGTGACTAATTGAGTTTATTTTATGGTTTGCACGGATGCCTGCAACGGCTGTGATCTGCTCCATTCTTTTGTTTTCTTATAAGTTAAAGGATTGCACGGGTCCAAGTCGTGCCAAGATAGAGAAAACATTGATGAGGTCAACGTTCCAAGATGAGCCAAGTTGTGCAAGGATGGCGCAGGTTAATTACATATATGGTTGTTCGGGATGTGAGGGATTGTTTTCGTTTGGTTGTTGTTCTTTGACTTCTTTTGACGTCGATCGCCTATACAAAAGGGTTTTTTTATCCCCTATCCCCTGGGTATGGCAAGCAAACAGGTCTACAGCGGCCTCCACATGGCAAGTAAACACTTGATCAAAACAGTACCATTTATTTTTTGGACTTAATTAAGACAGGTCTCGTTTTGCTGGCGAGGAGTCTCCTCCGGCCGGCGTCGATCGGTGTCATCACTTCTCCAGAGAGGTGCCGAGATAGAGGGGTGCAGCCATGGTCAACTCAGCCAGATCTTTAGTGGATGTTGCACGAAACATAACGAAAACATATACGAATGATTATGAATGTACATAATATATAATTTATATAACATATATTTGTTTATTGAATATTGAGATATATGATATCTATAGAATATAGTACATATATGATGCATATTGCCTTGATATTGCATGCAAATTATCCAGTTTATTTATGGAGTATTGTCATCCATGCCCATGCCATGGCAAAATCCAAATTCATGGGTGTCTATGGATTGATGATTATCCAAGATGGGCTAGTCTAACCGTCTAACCTAAGATAATTCCTTAGGTTGCCATTGAATTCACTGAATTCCTGGAGTTAATTCGAGACGTGCTGTGATTAAACAATATTAAACATATTAGTGCGGGATTGATGACATTGATAAAATATGGTCACTAAAAAGCCTAGGACGAGAGGTTGCGGACTTGGAACGTTGTGGATAGCTTGGGTCCTTGGTCCCAAGGTCTTCCAGATGGTGATGGCTATCATGACATGATCCTTCCCTGCGGACTTTTCCAGGAGAAAAAGGGCTTGGGTAGCGGATGCGGATGTGGTTCCATATCCCAAATTGCTATCACATATCACTAGGAACTAGAAACTAGAAACATATCATTCCTACATTTAGGATATTTTAGGATACTTAAAACTTAAAACAATTTAAAACCCCATCGTTTCAATGTGTGTTCATGTCGGCAGCACTGTACCATGGACAGAGCCTTTGAGTATGATCAAGTGTCGCAGGTGAAGCCGGAAGTCGGAAGCTGGATATTGGATGTTCAATTGAGCCTTTTTTGTGAGGGTTTGTGACCCAAGAGTCCAAGATTCCTTCACTGAGATTGGATGGTTTTGGAGGTTTCTTGCTTTTCATACTATATCATACTACACTATAATTACTAGTCACTTTCGAACAGTTTCAACTGTTTCAACAACAATATTATGGACCTTGAGCAGCTTCGAAATGGACATTGAAGGGTCGTAGGAAGATTGAGTTCCATCCAACTTGTGCTGTCATATCTGTCTCTACCAACATGAAATAACACTGTCTCTTGGATGTGTGTTTCCCAATGTTTCCCATGACCATATACTGTTGGGACCCTGGTGAAGACTGAAATTTCAGACTTGCGCCAGGAGGAAGTCATAGAGCTGATGTACAGAGATTTAAATCCTGAGGTGGGGACCGACCACGTCAATGCCTGACGATCGGGACAATGGTCGAAGGGAAGGGTTGATGATATGTGGATGTGAGGGGATGCTCATGAAGACTCATGAACGCTTTTGCCATTGTAGATCCAATGAAACGGGGGAAAAATATGGAAAAATATGGAACAATTTGGATAAATATGGATAAATATGGAAAAATATGGAACAATATGGAAAATGCTTGGTGCTCTGGAAGTCCCTTGAACATGGAGCGCTTTTTTTTTGTGTTCGGACCAATTACACTGAAGCAGAGCATGTTATGATATTCTGAGTTCGACTCTTTGCACCCCCTTTGGTGCAGTTTCTGTATCTGGCAGGACTACGACCTCTTGAACAAATTGGATGAACGCGTTTCAAAGAAGAATACCATGGGTAGAAACGCTGCTGGGGCTCTCAGAGAGACGTGGTTCACATCGTGGACCGGATCATCCTGGAATCTCCTGGGGTTCAGTGAAATATCGATCTGAATTGCTTTTGAAAAAACACTTGTTTCATGAATCTAAGTTAAACAGTTACACTTCAAGTTGTATAACTTGCTAAACCCATCTAACCGTCAGATTGGTGGTTTGGAACATGTTTTATTTTTCCATATATCGGGAATAATCATCCCAACTGAATTTCTAATTGTTCAGAGGGGTAGGGCTCAACCACCAACCAGTAACCCATCTAAACCCATCTAACCCTTTCAACTATCCCCAACTGGCAGATTTAGGACATTCGCCAACCTGGCCAATTTGGAATTCCAGGTGGAGCGATTGCCCCGGCGACTCGCCAAAGAATGTGAGTGTACACAGTCCGAGCCCAGAGGTCCAGATGGTTCGGTGGTTTGCAAAAAACAGCCGAGGGGGGATTCTCCGGGCTTGATGTACAGTAATTCAAAGTGGGGATCCAAAAAAAATGGATATGAGATCTATGAGTCAAAACATGATTTTATCATGTCAAAACCCAGGTTTCATCTAAAAAATAGATGGGTTTGTGCATGGTTATTCCCCCCTACTGTAAATATGACAATAATAGGTTTTGACCCATACCCAAATGGGAGATTTTGAACAACATGGCTTAACAAGACTGGTTAAGCTGTACTAAACATGATCACCCATGACTTGGATTATGACTGGGGGTACCCCCTTGACTTAGGAACACAAAAAAAAGTGTTCCTTGAAATCTGCTATATGGACCAATCCCAAAAAATAATCCATGGTATGCACTCAATGGAAAATTTGAGGTACTGTATCCCCATATTTGGTCAAACCCACCTAGCCAAAATTGGAAAGGATCCGTGAAGTGAAGATATTGGGGATGCTTGGTGAAGAGAGTCATCACTATTTTCCGAAGTCGGGAAGTTGGCCGACCTCCTCTCCCTCTCACATCCTCTCACTGAATTGGGTGAGCATCTGATTTCATGCGCAAATTTGCATATGTTTTGCAGGGGGCTAACTCCAGGCCTGATATTGAACCAGCGGGTGCGAAGGCCGAAACTGCAATCGGCAGACAGAAATACATGTGCATGAATAGAAGCATGCTTCAGAAAAGTCAACAAATGGCCACCGACTCTGGATGCAATCAGACATTACTCATTTGGCTGCGCATTCTGAGCCAAAGCGTTGGCTTGACACCCTGTAGTTGTGATAATTTTTGCTGATCCACGATAATTGGGGGAGCTATTCAGCATGACATAGTATCATGACATATTATGGGTATTCAACCCGCCACCCCCCATTTCGGTAACACCATGTAACACAAAAAATAACGGATGGTTCATTATTTATAAGCCCTTATCATGTTTGTTGATGGTTCAGAGTAGCCCTGGAAATGCCCTATGATAGGGTTTGAAAAGTTGTTCTCCGGGATGTTCTCCAGGTCTTAGTCTTTTCGTTCTCTATCAGGGGGGTTGCTATCATTTGCTATCAACCAATCCAACAAGTCCATGGGATCTCGATAGTTAGACAAATAGTTCAAAAAAAACTCGTGTTATATAAAGTCATATGACTTATATATATATATAAATCCCATGTTGATTCACATAAAGTTCATACATATATATATATATATATGAATATACTGGATTTATATTGATCATCTTGGCATTTTTTATATGATTTATATATGGTTCTAGTCATGATATTTACAGAAAAATGTCCATATGTCATGTCCCCGGGCTAAAAAAAATTGCCGAGGTGCGGCATTTGTTTGGCGGAGGTCGGGCCGAAGGCCCTTTTGGAGAGATGTTGCGGTGCTGGAATGTGGAACGTGGGACCCCAATAATTTATAGCTCTGGTAAACTAACATTTTGCTATGGAAAATCACCATTTTTAGTGGGAAAACTCACTATTTCTATGGCCATTTTCAATAGCTATGTTAAATTGCCAGAGGGTATAGCTCTTAACAGTTATGGCAGTTATGACCATAAACAACCTGAATACAGTTAATTATACATAAACGGAATTTTAACTCCAACTAAGGCTACAGGATATAGGTTAAGATTCCATCATTATAAACCCATTTACAACCGTTAAAGACCATAACTGTATGGAGGTGTTCTGAAATGGGGATACTGCACCCCAGTAGAAAGTTGGTGATTTGGGGGTACCCAGTGTATGGAACTTCCATAATATCCCAAAGTGGATGCTGTAGCCTTCAATCATGTCGATTGAATTTGATATACTTGATTTAGCTGGTAACAATGATTAAATGGGGATCATTCATATATATATATATTCATTGTTGTTGCAACCTTTTCGAAGTTCGAGTCCGATTCGAGTCTAGTGATGATAAGGTTTGCCCCGCAGCATCCCATAGCCACAGCTGTCACAGGTGCAGGTTGCTCAACTTCCATGTCGACATGCGTTTCATCCTGCATGCATTTCCAGGCCTGTCGCATTTAAAGATCGGCTAATATTTGTTTGTGTCTTTATCCGAGGGCGAATGGAATCACATCACCATAGTTAATATCCGTTTTGATGGTTGTTTTTTGATATAACCATCAGATCCATGAGTTTCAAATCACCATGAACGCTGTTGATGCTCGGCGTACAATGGTGGCTGGTCAATCAACTCCAAGCTGCCGCAGGTGGCTGACCCAATGCACCTCAGCTCAGGAAATGGTCAGAGTTAGAAGGAAGATATCTCCAAAATTTCCTCGATGCATCCGCTTACTTCAAGGATAGCCACAAATAGCTGACTTAGATATCTCCAATATCTTCAACTAAGATAGCTCAAATGCATCCGCTTACTTCAAGGATTCCGGCGATGGAACCTTGAGAATTTTTTTGTCCGACTTTCTCTGGCATGTTTTGGACAGCTCTACAGGACTATCCCATCAGTGCCAGTCTAGTTTGTTTCCCTTCAAACAGCAAGCCAAAAGACCAAAAGAGAGATAGAAACATATATAATTCATTTGGATTCGTTGGATGGATTATATATATAATTATATAATTATATATAGATATATTATGATTTTATATTTTGATTTGTTTTTGGAGGATGCTATACACACATGATTTTCTCTGCTGGCAAAACTTCTCTCCATGGGTGGATCGAAAAAATGGACATGCTGTTCATGGTGAGCACCAAGAACCCCCTTAAAGTCTTTTCGCACCAAACCAAAACGAAAAGTTACTGTTCCCTCCAAAACTGGTTGTATCATGTTGATTCATTTTGAGGGTTTGCGGCAACATAAAATTACATTGATTTATTTGGAAAGCATCGGTGTCTGTAGGTTTTCTCCCCTTCAACCAACCCAATTGAAGAGAACTGATGGTCGCGCCCAGGCAAGAGTAGCTGCCCCTTGTGTTCCACCCCTTTGGACGAGGTCCCATGGTAGTTTCTTGAAGTTTGCTGTGGAAAATCACCATGATGGTAAATCATTGAAGGAAGTGGGCCATGGCTTCGCCAACGGTTCAATTAACGGAGGGTACCTCATGGTATTTGGAATTCTCAGACAACTGCACATCTTGGACATACCATTTCATTCAATAGATCCCACTATGGTCCACTTAGATCTGATCTATCCTAGCAATGCCAAGACTGAAAATTCTTGGCGATCAAAGAGGGTTTATTTATGGACTGAAATGGCGGTCTATGGGTACAATAGATATCTACTATCCTATATACCCATGATATCTATCTATCCTATCCTATCCTATCCTATCCTATCCTGTCCTATCTATCTTATCTATGTATCTAATTAATCTATCTATCTAATTAATCTATTTAATTAATCTATCTAATTAATCTATCTAATTAATCTATCTAATTAATCTATCTATCTATCTATCTAATTAATCTATCTATCCTATCCTATCCTATCCTTTCCTATCCTATCCTATATATATATATTATCTATCTATCTTATCTATCTATCTGTCTACCTATCTATCTATCTATCTATCTATCTATCTATCTATATATCTATCTATCTAATTAATCTATCTATCTAATTAATCTATCTATCTAATTAATCTATCTATCTAATTAATCTATCTAATTAATCTATCTAATTAATCTATCTAATTAATCTATCTAATTGATCTATCTATCTATCTATCTATCTATCTAATTGATCTATCTATCTAATAAATCTATCTATCTAATTAATCTGTCTAATCTATCTAATCTATCTAATTTATCTATCTATCTATCTATCTATCTCTAAATATACATGGGTTGGTTCATTAGTTAGTTAGTCAGTCAGTCAGTCAGTTTGACAGACATATGGTATCCCAAATAGATAACTACATAGATCGATAGATAGGTAGATAGATAGATAGTCAGTGATTTAGTTAATTAGACAGCGGATAGTTACCATGTCTAGATAGTTAGTCTGTTAGATAGATAACAGAGAATTACCATTTCTAGACAATAGATATTTCTAACTAAGTTATATAATATTATATAATCACTCCCATGACGGATCCATGGTGCTGGTATATATGCTAACATGGATCCCATCAATATACCCCAGTCATGTTAGCATATATACCAGCACCATGGATCCTATGAGACTTAGTTAGTCAGATAGATTTTCTGCGGCCATGGTGCGGCCGTATGTTCCCCAGGCGCGACAAAGTTCGGGACCAGCGAGTTCATCTGATGGGCTCCAGGCAAGTTTTAAGATGTTTATCAGTGGTGAATGATGGTTAAGGTGGTTTTGCATGATAAAAATATTGATTTATATTGATTTATATTGATTTATATTGATTTATATTGATTTATAGTTATATGTTTTTTTTTTCGTAAAACAATCATAAATCATGCCCAACACAAAATCACTTGAATCGGTGCCAAAAGGGCTGGCTGACATTGAATACAAACATTACCATGGAGAATGCCATGGTGTTGCAGGGTTCATCGAGTTCACCATGGGCTCGTACGACAAGACTGGAATCGGGCTGGAATCTATATGATGACCCTATCCAATGCCAGGTAGTATTTTTAGCGTTTGCATTTTTTCCCGAAGTTGCAGTTGATTCTGGAAATTGGGTCTTCCAGATGGTTTCCAGTCCCCACTTGGATTGGACACAGGTAGGCTGGGGGATATTTGGATGGTTTGGATTGAAGAATTCCCAGGCCATCTTGGCCCTAGCTCTGCCCCGGGTGCAGGTTTGTTTCCTTTGAAGTATGCACGACCGTGCAATGGACAACCTGAATGTCTAGAAGCAGTTTGTTATCGCCATAGGCGTTGCAGTGTGTGGGAACGGATGGACTCCTGAATCACACTGGAAGATTTGGAAGAGCAAAGTCAGTTCCTTTTTTAAATATAGTAGGGCCAGGGACATCCAACACAAGTTGTTTCACTTTCACTTTGCATGAACATGTAAACAGTCATGGACCGGATGGGGGTTCAATGCAGCATGTAGCTGATTCTCCTCGCTCCATATCTCATGACAGGATGAAGTTTGAAGCTGCGGAATAGGATTGAGTCAACCACATAGGTCCCAGACTCTGCACCCTCTCAAATTCCATAGTATTGAAAAGCTGTTACTCCATGGCATTTACGAAAGGTCCTGCCTTTTTCAATGCTAATTGATAGGGTGAATTCCGCATTTTGAAGCTCCTGGTTCGAGTCTTACTTGCACCCCCCTGTGGCGTCAGGTTGTAGCTCTCCAAATCTGAGCGGATGACGTTTGCTGGAATGGCTGGTTCACATGCCTCAATAGTTGAAGTCACCCAATATATTGTAGTACAGTAGGGTTTCTGGATAATATATATATATACTGGATAATATTATATACTTATATATATATAATTACATACATACATTATACATATACATATATATATATATATCATGGCACCCGGTGTGCGATCGATGATTTTGACAAAGGTGCAACTCCTCCGCCTCTTTGTTGTCTTCATCCCCTCTGCCAGCTCCGGATGCTGTGGAGCACGCCTGGGCCTGAACACATGCCAAAGAGAATGTCAGAAAGACTGCCAGATAGAATGTCAGAACATATGACAGAAAGAATGTAAGAATAGATGCCAGATAGAGTGTCAGAATAGATGCCAGATAGAATGCCAGAAAGAACGTCAGATAGATTGTCAGAGTATATATGCCAGAAAAAATGTCAGAACATATATGTCATATCTACATCCAAATAATATACTGTATGTCAGAAACTTGGTCAAAAACAATTGCCAGGGTGGGGATCACTCTGAAGTAAAGAGTAATCTTAGTTGTAGAATTGTCGCCATACTTGTCATTCCTCAAGTCATTCCCCATGTTTTTCCGGTCACTCAGAGAGTCTGCCTGAATTTCCAGCAGGACGTCCCTGTAGGACGCTCGACGGCACTTTAAAAAATCCCCATCCCACTCTGGAGAGCTACGGCTGCTGGTGAAAGATTCGCTGCTCAGTGGCTGAAGTCAGGGGAAATGCAGCTGACATCAGCTGACTATAGTTGCCAATGAATGCCTATTGGATTACAAGTTATCGGAATGGACAAGGCTTGCGGATCATAGATTGGCACGAGTTGAAACCGCCAGTGTTTGTTGGGATTCGAATTCGATGCGAATCAATGAAACATGGACCAATCATCCACAAGTCAATCCATTTGGTTCTTTCAATGATAAACACATCTTGCAAACATGGGTGCTATAGGTGAGACACTGAGACGTTTGAGTCTTTTTTGTAAGGTCATCAATACCTCTCAGGACATTGCAGTTGAATAGTGTAACATGTTAAAATCACTCGAAAATGTCGCTGGAAAAAGCGTTGGCTAAAGTTGGCTATCCAAGAACTACCAGCTTTGCAGTTTCAACGAAGCCAGTTGATCATGATAGGCATCACGGGGCAATATTATCCAATAATGTATTACCCATAGGATCCATGTATGCTATATATGGATATATATGGTAACATTTACCATCAATATAATATACCCCAAATGTTAGCATATATATACCATACATGGATCCTATGGGTTAGGGCATCATACTCCACAATTATGGGAATCCTCACGAAACAAAGATTTTTGTGTAGATTTTGGGCTAGGCTTTTGATACTGCTCGTTTTGAACCTCGAACTGCAGAGAACCTCGAATTTGACATATATTTGACACATCCTCATCTGTAATCCTGCAACCAGTGCAGTTCTCTCGGATGAAGGGAATATTAGTTTGCTTCTCCCAATATCCCATTGATTGTCGAAATTGTTGTTTTTTGAAAGGAATGGAACATTATCCCTATCAAGGAAATATTATTATTGATTATCCCATGTTTGATGGTACCCAGGGTTTCCTGATGTTTGACGTTTTTTCCAACCAACTTCCGTCACAGCAGAGCTCGAGCGTCGTAGATTGGTTGGGGGTCAGCAGAGTCTATCGAACGGCCATGGCCATGTCTCTCTCGATTCGCTGGCTTGCTTGTGATGTCAGCAATGCCCTCGCTGTTGGCTGAATCACAAAAAAATTGACCCCCAAGATGGGTTTGTGAAAAACTATAGGGCACTCCCAATTCCATCCAATTCCAATGGAATATCAACATTTTAGCAGTTTGATGGTCATTTGGGGGTATACTCGCTCCATTTTCACACCAATGATCAACGTGGATGGCTCATCGCCATGGCCGGCCATATGGCCATTGGGCTGTCCTCCCAATGTGATGTGATGATCCACCAACATCCCGGCCGAAAAATTATCACTCCGTGAAGTAGAAGTGTTGAATAGTTTTTCATAAATCGAATCTAAAAACATCCTGGCGACAGATAACATACCCATACGCTCCCATGTATAGAATATTTACCAACATTTGGATGTTGTTGAGGATAAATGTTGGTAAAAAATATCCATAAATATCCCACATATGGAGCATTTGGAGCTTGTGGGATAGATTCCATCATCGAACATGGTTCCGATGCTGCTGGCAAACCCGCCAGGCTACGTCAGCCCATGCGACTGCCCATGGGAAGGGCAGCCTTGATCGTCAGAAGAGGCCGGGTGGCCCAGCATGAGCATGGCCGTGCTGGGTTTGGATATTGTTGCAACAATATCAAATTTATGGTGTGTAATGGCATGTGTTAATATCAAATTTATGGTGTGTAATGGCATGTGTTAATGTGATTGGTATGTGATTGGTTGTAATGTATTGTAATTGTGTACCTGAGAAACTTCCCTTGGACAAGGTGTGCCAACCAAAATCACCACAAAACCAGGTGCTAACACAAAATCCCCACAAAATCTCATAAATACAAGAGGGATTATATGTACATAATTGTACATATGTATATATATATATATACATGTGTGAGTTTGACCTGTCTAATGTATATTTTGTATAGCCAGGTGATCACATGCCCCGTTGACATTTGGCTTTAGGGCCCTTGAGTCATACCGCGCTGCCGTGGTAAAAGTTGGGCATTTGACGATCCCGTTTCCAATTCATATTGGTAGCGGAGCGGGTGACGACCCGCATCCGGTGGTACGTCAGTGACCCAGGGAACCCTTTGTGAATTTGAGTCTGGTAACTTTGGGAATCAACTGAACTTCGAGTGTGTCGTGGTTCGGGAATCTGTCTGACCCTGACCAGGGCAGACACTTGTTAACGTTTTTCCTTGTTCGACTCCGAACGGAGCGAGCATCATGTCGATCAATGGCCTTCGTTTCAATCAGGAGCGCCATTCGTCGGCACCACTTGAGACGAAGAGTGGCTCATACATCTATGCAGGTGATGCGGCGAACTTTCATGATTGGCAGTTCAGGACTCTCCTTCGGATTCGTCTTTATGAGCAACAATTGGAGGAGACAAGTAAGTCTGCGGATCCCGTTGGGACCACAGCAACAGAGCCTGCCGCAGAAGATGCAGATGAGTATGCTACTTTTCCAGATTTGTCGGGTGCAACTCAAGCAGCCCAGCCTGCATCAGCAGTCTTGACTCCGAAGTCTGGAGCGAGCCGAAAATCCTCGAAGTCCGGCAAGCAGAAGACAGATGTTGATCGTGGACCATTGGTCAACAAGGTGATTGAAGGACTGAGAGGAGATGCTTTCTCAATAGCTAGGGATCTTGGACTTGAAGTGTTGTCCGAACCTGGTGGCTTAGTGAAACTTGTGGGTGAGATCAAATCCCATGTGTTTCCAAGAGCTCGTGAGGAAGCAAAGGAACTTTTTCGTGCAGGACAGAAGCAAGGTGGTCCTTTGTCTCGCCAACCAGGCGAACCCATGCTTTCCTATGTTCAGAGGAGACGACGTTGGTGGCATATGCTATGCGAGTTGGATGACACAATGGTGTTTTCAGACAGCTTGAGGACAGAGTTGATGTTGGAGTTGAGTGGACTCAATCGACAAGAGATCCTCGTTGTGAAGGCTTGTGCAGACACTAAGGATTTTGAAGGTGTCGGCAAGGTGCTGATCGAGAACTACAGTGGCACCCACTTGCGAGAAGGGTCACGATCCTGGACAGGACGTGGGAATCCTCAACAGTTTGGCAAATCAACAGGCAAGGGTTATGGCAAAGGCAAACCTTCTTCGAAGGGATCGTATTCCCAAGCAGCTTATGCAGCCTACCCCGATGATGGGGAGGATCATGCAGAATCTTGGGATGAAACTGCGAATCAATCCTGGGAGGATGATTCATATGTTGGCATGCTTGGTGACATTGCAGAAGAGGAGCCAGGAAACCTAGAAGGTGACAACGAGTTTGATTACTTTGACGACGTCGATGAGTACGAAGCAGTTGCATTGAACAGCTTGCTTGAAGTTGAAGGTGCAGAAGATGATCGACAAGCAGGAGACGCCATCCAGCTACAACTTGCTGCTTTCACTGCAATGGGGAAAGCAGGTGGCAAGGGCAAATCCTTTGGGAAGCCCAAAGGAAAGGGGAAAGGAAAGATCGTGAAGTCCAACCTCACGATCGATCAGAGGAGACGGAAGCTCACCGAGCTGAAGTCGAAGAGCAAATGTTTGAGATGCGGAGTCATAGGGCACTGGGCCGGTGACCCGGAATGTAAATTCCCGGGGTCGAAAGCCGGAGCCCCTGGAAAGTCAGCCCCAAAGCCCGCAGCTCACTTTGCCGACATGAGCGATTCTTCAGATGACGATGGTGTGACTTTGACAGCTTCACCTGATCGTGACAGAGATGGAGTTGCTATGATGGCAGTTCGACAAGCGAAGCCCAGCAGTCGACCTTCACGTGCAGCAGCATCCAGCAGCAACGTTGGCTTGATTTCCCGGGATCTCGATGTTACAATGAGACCCGAGGACCATGGGTGCATCTTTCCTGTTGGACAGTTCAAGGGTTTGTCTTTTTGGAATGTGTTGTTTGAACAGACAGGGTACTATCATCATGCCAAGAAACATACCCCCAAGAGTCCATACTATGTCACATGGTTGAATTGGGTTGACAAGTACTTTGTGGTTGGTGCTGATGGGATTCACTTGCGCGAAGTCCCTGTTGAGCATGTCGAGCACCGAGATTTGTTGGTGGCTCGGGGAACTGGCAGAAAGAAACCCCCAAATCCTCCTTTGCCGAACAAGTGTCAGGAATGTCGTGAGTTTACAAAACAAGGTTCTACGGGGTACACCATCAGGAAGACCTGTCTTGTGTGCGGTCATTCCGAAACAACAAAGCGTGAGATGATACCATTGATGTCCCCTGAGAATTGCCCTCATGATGACACCGATTTTAGGGGATCCAGCAAATCAACACACCGTACTTTCTGCAAGAAGTGTTGCACTTTCATTGATGAAGCCCCTATGCAGATTCGCAAGGAGCGTGTTGCCATTGCCAAGAAGGTTGAAACAGCATCAGTTCGAACAGTCCCCATTGTTGAATCATTGGTTGAAGAATCGGATGGATTGAATCCAGTCCAGTTGGAAGAGTTGTTGCCCCTGTTTGCCACTCTCGTTACCGAAACCTGTCAATCTGAGGTCATGACCCGTGCACGACTTCATGAGCTACTTCATCAAGCCATCAATGACGTGACAGAGGAAGAGGACAGTTTTTCTCTGGTCAATGAAGATGGGCACGGTGACCCCTCGGGCAGGGAGTTAGCTGGGTACGTTGGCATTTGTTTGCATGGAAGTGACATTCAATACCCTCAAGACTTGGTTTACATGAACTTTGAAACTGTTGACATTGCCAGGTCATCCCATGTCTTTGCAGTGTTGGATGAAGGTTGCAACAGCACTTGTCATAGCAAAGCCTGGGCAGTCGATGCAGAAGCACGACTGGCCCGTTTGGGTTACAGCATGCCATTGAAGGATGACGGTTGTAAGAGTTTTGCTGGTCTGGGAAGTGGTAGTACCAAGACCGAAGGTGTGAGATCTATTCCTTTTTCGCTGCTGCTTCCAGACGGGAACATGAATGGGGAGTTGGATTCATATCAATTGTCAACAGGCAACAGTCCATTGCTTCTTTCATTGCATGCGCAAACCAAATTAGGCCTAGTGAAGGACCTAGCAAAAGGGGTGATTTCCATCAAAGATCAACCATTGAATATCAAGAGATGTTCCAAATCAGGTTTACTTGTGATGAACTTGACTGAAGGATTGACCAACATCATCAACACACCACCAAATGAGCTTCCCAAAATTCCAAAGTGTCATAGAAAGTATAACTTGGCGTACACTGCATCGACAAGTGACTGCGCCATGGCCGATCACGATCAGACTGGTTTTCATTCAAGGGACTATGACGTCTTACAATCGAAACTGAATGAAGAACAGCTTAGCAACAGACAGGTGATCATTGTGACTCGAGGTCGACGATTCCAACGACATGCCATGAGGTCCAATCATGCCACCCTTTCCATCAACTGTGAAGACATTTACGATCCTGATCAGGACGTAAGTCTCAGAGCTCATGTGGGTTGGCACCATAGGATCCTCGAGACGTTGAGCAAGGTGGACAAGTTCAACGAGCATCTCAATAGCATCTTGGAGTTCGTCACCCAGCATCAGCAGGAAAGGATCTTGGTGGACCTGGAGTGCAAATCAGGCCGCCATAGATCGGTTGATCAGGGCTTCGCAGCTTTCAGGTGCTTGAAGGCCTTGGGATACGACGTTGTCTTGATCCATTCGTCGTCTTGGATGTGGGGTGAAATGCGTTGTGGAGGAGTTTGCAACGACTGCAAGAATGTTGGGGCCAGTGTGGGACAGATCAGGCATCTGATCCCGAGGACACAGGCCGTGACGATGAGGCCTCGTGGCAGTGTAGCTGCCAGCCGTGCAGGCGTTGATGATGCTCCAGCCGATGGCGCTTCAGTGGAACATCCTACAACAGGTCAGCTCGAAGAGATCAGACGACTTGTGCAGGGTCTTGCATCTGACGTTGGGGGCCTGGCATCTGATGTGGGACATCTTCGCTCTGAGCAGAGGAAGATAGTTGCTGAAAGGAGATCCAGGAGCCCATTGCGACGAAGGCGTCTTCCTACACCTCCATCACCACCAAGACGCAGACGAAGCCCGAGCTATAGTCGCAAGCTGCCCCCATGGAGACACCCAAGATCATCCAGAGGGAGGAGCTTGGGAAGAGATCGAAGTCCATCCTCGAGACCGGCTCCATCAAGGCCAATTTCTTCGAGACCTGCCCCAAGGAGTCCAGATCACCCGCCTCCACATATTTCAGATGTGCCTGGGACCGATGAAGGATCCCGATCGACATTGCCACGACGTTCCAGAGAGCCACCAAATGATCGCGATGAGCTTGAGCGATTGGTTCGCAACAACTTGGCATTGGATGGGCCGTTCGACAACAAGAACATTTCAGTGACATCATTGGACGGTGAACTTCTTAGCGAGGTTGTGTCCTTCTGCGTTCGTGAGGGAAATCGTGACCGACTCTTTTGGATCTGTCGACCAGGAGTTGAAGACCCCCACAACAGTGGTGTCAGGATGAATGTCTTGATTCGAGATCACATCCGACCCAATCGAATCATCAAGGTTGCGAACAGCATCAAGCATTGGAAACGATCTACATGGTGCCGACCTCGCAATGGA